AGGTAGGAAGAAAGAGCAAATTACATTGTCACATTAGCCGTCAAATTATATTTTAACATCCCCATTGGACATCCTTATGTCATTTTACAAATATATAGGTACACGTACCTTATTCTGCAAGCAAAGTAATTACAAAGGATTAGGAAACTAAATCCTAAAAATTACATATCCTAATCCTACCTAAAATAAGACAACAATAACATTTACAATTAAGACTCAAATCAACGCTCCCCCTCAAGTTGGTGCATAGATATCGTACATGCCAAACTTGATAATTGAGTCTTGGAAAACCTTACTAGATACTGCATGAGTAAGAACATCAGCTAATTGCTCTCCTGAACTCACAAACGATATAGACACAATCTTCCTTTCAAGATTTTCCTTGATAAAGTGTCGATCAACCTCCACATGTTTTGTTCGATCATGTTGTACCGGATTATCAGCTATTTCGCTTGCAGATTTATTGTCACAATATAACTCCATAGCCTCCTTTGGTTCAAAACCAAGACATCTCAAAAGTTTATATAACCAAAGAAGTTCACATATTCCATGGGCCATCCCTCTATACTCAGTTTCTGCAAACGACCTTGACACCACTTTCTGCTTCTTACTACGCCATGTAACCAAATTACCTCCAACAAATGTAAAATACCCAGATGTAAATCGCCTTTCAGTAACATTGCTAGCCCAATCTGCATCTGTAAACCCCTCAACCTTTAGATGTCCACGTTTTCCATAAAGTATTCATTTACCATGTGCAGACTTCATATGCCAAAATTCGCATTACTGCAGTCATATGATCTTCACTGGGTGAGTGCATAAACTGACTTACAACACTCACAACATATGCAATATCAGGATGAGTATGAGATAAATAAATTAACCTCCGTACAAGTTTTTGATATCTACCCCTATCAACAGGAACCTGATCTGAGTAAATACCCAAGTGATGTTTCTCTACCATAGGAGTATCCATAGGTGTATACCCTAACATACCAGTCTCTTTCAACAAATCTAACACATATTTTCGCTGTGATAAGAAAATTCCTTTAGGTGAACGAGCGACGTCAACTCTAAGAAAGTACTTCAATTGTCCCAAATCTTTCATCTCAAATTCAAATGCAAGATTTACTTTAACTTCTGAATTTCTTCAGAATCATCCCCTGTAATAATCATATCATCCACATAAATGATTAAAGTAGTCAATTTGCCAAGCTTACGCTTCAGAAACAGAGTGTGATTTGAATGACTCTAGTGATATCCATAGTTCTTCATTACTTGAGTAAACCTATCAAACCAAGCGCGGGGCGACGGCTTGAGCCCATAAAGAGATTTACGCAATCTACACACTCATGTACTACCATTCACACCATATCCTGGTGGAAGGACCATATACATTTTCTCTTCTAAGTTCCCATGAAGGAACGCATTCTTCACATCAAATTGTTTAAGAGGCCAATCCATATTTGCAGCTAAGGAAATCAAAACATGCCCCGTATTCATCTTCGCTACCGGAGAAAAAGTTTCTTGGTAATCTACACCATACGTTTGAGTATACCTTTTAGCCACTAAACTTGCTTTGTACCTATCCACTGATCCATCAACCTTGTACTTGATCATAAACACCCAGTGACAGTCAATAGGTTTCTTCCCTTTTGGTAATTGCACTATCTCCTAGGTTTTATTCTTCTACAATGCTGACATTTCTTCATCCATCGCTTGTGTCCACTTAGGGTCTCAGAGGGCTTCTTTTACCTGAGTTGGAATTTTGATTGATTCAATATGATTTACCAACGCCCTACGTTCTGGTGAACAACACTCACATGATACATAATTAGCAATCAGATACTTGACCTTCCCTTCTGGAAAGAACCTGTCAGGTGACACATCACGATTTTGTCTTACTGGCAATTTATAAGTACTTACACCAATATCAAAATTAGTTGTACTATCATTTAAAATACTTACCTCTTGGATATTTAGAGAAGATGGAACAGGCACTGTAAGATCAGAGAGAGAAGGGTAATACATACATACTAGGCATTTCAACAGACTCTTGTCGAACTGGGGTGTACTATTCGGTGTGAGCCTGCTGAATTGGACTATTTTCTTCAATTGTAGTCTGCCGAATTGGGTTACTGGGTTCAGAAAACTCCTGCAGAACAACTGGGCTACTGGGTTCGAAAAACTCTTACAGAACAACTGGGCGAATCTCCACAACTTATCTTTCTCCCCTTGAAGTATATTCCAACCAACTTAGATCACCAATATCATTAATCTCCCCTTGGTAATCTGAATTGGATACAGATGAAGTATAAAAATATTCAAACTCTGAGAAAGTCACATCTATGGTTACAAACATACGTTAACTAGCAGGATGACAACACTTGAATCCCTTCTGATGCAGAGAAAATCCAAGAAAGACACAACGGTATGCACATGGATCAAGCTTACTGCGATGAACTTTCTAAATGTGAACATAAACCACAACTGTCTCCATGATATGACGATTTTTCCTTTCCGCCATCCCATTTTGTTGTGGGGTATTCGGACAGGTAGTTTCGTGAACAATTCCACGATCTTGTAGAAGCTCGAATAACTCATAATTTATGTACTCTCCACCATTGTCAGAACGTAAAACTTTAATATCAAAGGAATATGGAGTTTTAACCATCTGAAGAAACATACAAAACACATTACATACCTCACTTTTATTTTTCAGCACATACAACCACATCATACGGGTGTAGTCATCCACGAAAGTAACAAACCACTTAATTCCTGAAGTAGTACTAACAGGGGAAGGCCCCTACACATCAGTGTACTAGCGCAAACGGAGAAGACCTTCTATTCATACTTGAAGGGAATGAAGCACGATAACTTTTGGCTAAAATACATACTTCACACTTCAATTCTGAGTCTTCGATACCACTTAACAAATCAAGTAACATATGCTTCAAATAACCAAATGATGCATGCCCCAAACGACAATGCAATAACAATACCTTCTATTGATAACTATTACGTGATGCACAAACCAAATTAGCTCTTTCAGGAACCACGTGTTATAACAATGACGAGTACAGGTTGAATTTTGGATTCAGGTGCAACGAATCATATGACATATGATAAGACTTTGTTTCAATCTCTAACCCATCCTCATAGAAAGTGTGTGGCAACCTCAATACATTGTACAATTGCAAAAAACACAGCAATTGTACACAATTTATGGTTTAGTTTTCGGACCGAAACCAAGCTCTTGATGCCAAGAAGAAATACACTAATACTTCGTTATTTTATTTATCATCTAGGGTTTACAAATATATAGGCACACATACCTTATTCTACAAAAAAAGTAATTACAAAGGATTAGGAAACTAAATCCTAAATATTACATATCCTAATCCTACCTAAAATAAGGCTCCAATAACATTTACAATTAAGACTCAAATCAACACATATCAGTACTTAAAACAAAATATTAAGAAATTAGACTTACTAACAAAGTTCCAGCCAATGCCATTAACTACAAAATCACCAAAAAATAATACTAAATAAATAAAATCCCCAAGCCCGTGCCAGAAAGAAATAAAAATAAATAAAAGCAGTTGGAGTTTTTCTTAGCATCTTATGAACAATTATACTATGAGAAGCAGCCAGGTCAACCAAAAATATAAGAAGCAACCTCCACCACCAGGGCACTTACATTCTTGATTGGATATCAATTAATTTTCTATAAGCGGTCAAATTTCGAAATTAAAATAAACAAAAGAAAAAAAATTAAAATAAAAAACGTCATCAAAATGTGACAAAGCAAGGTCCAATAATTTAATTTGATTTGCAAGATGAAGAAAAAATTGGCTTGAAGAATGTGTATTTGAATTGCGATATAAAAATGTCCAACAATTTTGACTTTTAACACTGAAATTTCAAGATCATTCCAAACACATTACTTTTTTTTTTATTCAACTAGTATAAGCCTACACACAAAATTGTGCTGAAATTTTTTACTTTTGTTTTTAAAATTGAAGGAGATGAGAAGAAAGTGAGAGTGGGGAGAAAGGGAGAGAGGTTTGATTTTTTTTTTTTAAAAAAAATTAGAGATGATAAAATCACTTGTAGATGAGGTTTAAACAAAAAACAACAAAATTTTGTTGGTTAGATGTCCAAAATCATGATGTTTTTAGGTGATCAAAATATATGTATTTTATTTTTTTAATGCTCATTTTATATCTTTAAAACATATTAAAAATTACAATCTCTGATATTGCATTTTCAACCAAAAATTACATACATATAACAAAAAAAAAATTAGATTGTCATAATCTATCTGCAATATATTCTTAACTCATAACAAAAATATGAATGGATATTTACCTATAAGTAAGATTGAAACCTACTAAAAGGTAGAAAAAAACATTACTATATCTACAGCAACCCACATGAATCTTACTTGGCTTATAAAACGCATTTGTCATATAGGTAGATCAATATAAAAACTTGTTGCTATAGTTGATTATAAAAATAAAAATAAATTCTGTAACATGGGGTTTAAAACAAGATATAAGAACAAGAAAGAACAAAAAAATACTACTAACAAAGAGATATTAGAAGAGAAATTTTTCTTTTTATACTAACATCTTATCATTGAGAGATAATTATTGATCATAAACTAATAAGATTAAGAAATTGACCTTATTTTAATAAATTGGACTATTCCTACTATTGGCTCAAATTCGTAAATACATTTTCTCTCCACACTTAATTCGCAATGAGCATCATCACATCATCAATTTATTTTCTCATGAATTTAAATTTCGCTAGCAACCAATGCAACCACAAGCAAAATATGCACTCCCAAATTCAGCTGTCCAAAGCCCAATACTATAAGGCCCGGCCCAAAACAAAAGCTCAAAGGTGGATTCCACGTGGGATGCTAACTGTTGTTGTCAAGTGTATCACCTTTTCGTTCCAGTCTTCCTTCCCCATTGGTTTTCTGGTAAAGCTCCGTAACAATGGAGAAGATGATCGCTCTGAGATCGCTCTACCGCTCACTGTCCTGCAGATCTTATCGACTAGCCGCTGCCAACCAGAAGCTTCTGTGCAACTCCCAACCCATCCACTCTTCCGCCGCTGCTGCTCGAGCCCTCTTCAATTCCTTATCCCAATCGCCAAGGACCTCTCTTCCGGTAACTCCTTCCTTCTCCGTTCGACTTCAATCTGGTTTCAATGAAAATTTTGATAGATATGATGCAAATTTGAAATGGGTTATTGTTGCAATTTGATTTTCTGTATTAAAAACTGCATGTTTGAGCTTCTTGTGATGTAAAATGATTTGGGTTTTGTTTTTCTTTTATTTTCTGCTGAAATTCCATGTGGGTATGTTGCGAATCCGCAGATGACTGCAAGTTCCCGTTTTCAAGGGGGTTGGGAAGTAGGAAATTTTATAGTGATGATATGAGTCACTTGCCTGCCATTAAAGACCCTGCGCTGCTCAATGTTTTCAAGGATTTGCTGGCTGCAAGTTGGGATCACTTGCCCAAGATCGTCATCCATGATGCGAAGGCGGCATTGTCTGAGAATACTGATGACCAGACTGGCAAAGAGATTGTCACTAATGTTTTCCGGGCAGCGGAGGCTGTTGAGGAGTTCGGCGGGATGATTACTAATTTAAAGATGGAACTTGATGACAGCATTGGTGCGAGCGGAGAGGTACTATAATCATTAGGGACTTTGTGGTTTCACAGTCACCTGGCTCTGCTGTTCTTTTGATTTTTGTGTTTTCGTATTGTCTGTAGAATGTCAAGCCCTTGTCAGATGAGTACGTGAATGCACTGAAGACCATTTACAATCGCTACATTACCTATTTGGATGCATTTGGGCCTGAGGAGACCTATTTGCGGAAGAAGGTTGAGACAGAGTTGGGAACTAAGCTGATATACTTGAAGATGAGATGCAGTGGAATCGGTTCTGAGTGGGGAAAGGTATTTATACAAAGATGATTAAAGTTATAGCTAGATAAGATTATCGGTTAGTATTACCTTTTGAGAAAGCCATATCAAAGCATAGGTGCAGTTATCTGGTACTTTTCTTATCTGTATGAGCAGCATTGAAGGAAAATTATCTTAGTTATTTAGCTCACTTAGGAGTTAGGAGAATAGAACATCAAAATTGACGCGGTTGCGGTATATATTTTAAGTTTGGTAACGATACTCAGTCCCTTATTTTCTATCTCTCTTCCCGTGGGAACTGGAAAGGGGGTCTTTCAACATAAACGATGCTTTGGCATGAAGCTTTTCATTTCGGCATTTGTGGTACATGGTTTGTTATTATCCCGCAGTGTAGGGACTCCTATTTGGCACATTCACATGCAGTGTGCAAAGCATTACGAATCTATTTGTACACTTCTCATATGATTTTGTATTCTGATTGCAGATCACTGTTCTGGGAACTTCTGGACTGTCTGGGTCATATGTTGAGCAAAGAGCTTAATCCCAGAATTTCAAAGAATGTTAAATGTAATTGGAAGCTTTCCGGTTTTTGGAATCGTGTATGTTGGACTTTCTGGGTCATATGTTCAGATTCTGATGACAGTTAATAAGAGAATATCGATCTTGATCTATTAATGAAATAACGTCGCATCTTGTTCTTTCATTTACGATCGCGTATATCGTTGGAAGTTTTGTTTCGGCCTGTAATTTCAGTTTGATTTGTTTCATTTGCTTCTGTAGAGTTGATAATACTGATGATGGAACAATTTTCAACAATATGCACATGACAGTAGATACAGAAATGATCTCTACTTCTCTAGTAACAAATTACAGAAATTTTCTGTCTGCCAGTGTTAAAGATCGGATGTGCACTGATATTGGGTTGATATTATTGAAAATACATCGATAACATGTCATTATATTATGTTGGCATCGACACATTATTAATGACATATTGATGGTTCAATTGTTACGTATTCGTTTCATAGACACGGACTAAACAAAATGACGTTCAATTAGGGAACTGTCAATAATACTCTTGGCAGGCATCATTATGTTTCGGGCTGGACACAGGTCATGAAAACAAGTAAATATAGGGGCTAATCATGATTTGGATCGAGCTGGTTTCGAATATGGGAATTTATGATGGCTGAGATAAACTACCCGAATTCGAAATACATCTTGGATCAAAAGTATTGAATTAGTCGTCAGACTTTTCCTCCGACTGCAAGACTATATACGTATCTGTATCGGCTACATATCATGTAAACTACAGTATGTTTGTCACTTATTACTGTGATAATCTCACGCATTAATCTCTCTATGTGATGTTATTAAGGATAACACAAACTGCCTCCAGATTATCGCCTTCTCTGCATAGTTCTGTAGCAAGTTTAGTTCAACCGAAGTTTTTTCCGGCAATCAGAGCCTCGTGATTGATGTTCCTCAGTCCTTCTTTCTCTTTTCACCAGAACCATTTCGTTTGTCCGATGGCCAACTCTTCCACCACTGCTTCTGTCGACCCGTCTGTTCTTCCTGTACGTCTCTCACGTTATCACCGTCAAGCTCAATTCCAATAATTACCCTATTTGGTTGTCCCAAACTGTTTCTTTGCTTAAGAGTCAGAACCTCATGGGTTTTGTGGATGGTCCTTCTCCCTGACATCCTCAGTTTCTCTCCGACGATGCTGGGAACAAAACCGACACCGTCAACCCCGATTTTCGGCTGCTGGGGTTTGGTTTTGTTTTTGTTGTTTCTTCTGCGTAAGGCTGTTTCCCCAGTTTCTCTCTTGAATTTGCAGAAGTCAGACTGATTTAATTGCCAACTGGTTTCTTTCATGGTATCATGGCCCCGAAGTCCTAGGTTGCTTCCCAGAACCAATCAGGTATTGTTCGGGCAAAGATTTATATGGAGAAGGCTCCTCGGATCTCAACACAGCTCCCCAAGTGATTGGCACCTTGGATGTGTAGTCTGACTCTCACTTCTTGATGTGCTACAAGAAGAGAACAAAGTTAGTTCTAAAAGGTGCCTTTGTGGGGCCTTAGGTGTAGGACCTTGAGGCTCACAGTCAAATCTAAGTGCTAGGTATGCTACTACTATCTTAGTATAGCAAATGTAGAACAAGTGTGTTTCAAGTTGATTACTTACACCCCAAGTTACTCAAGCTTCTTGTTATCAAAGGATTGTCGTGGATGGGTTAAGTCTACGTTAAGTTATTTTTCTTGCCTTGTAAATAAGGACTTGTAATTCATAGTCTTGTATGTTTAAATGAAAGGAGTCCAAAGCCCCTTAAATTATTTGTTTGATTCTAGGTCACATTTAATGAAAACATCTCCATCACTGCTAATCATATCCAAATGCAAATGGACTCTTAAAGTAGAAAAACAGGTGGAAATAACTTGAATAGATACTGAAGAACGCATTAAGTAATAGATCTACTAATTCATAAAACAAACAAAGAGCTTCGGGCAAGATATCACCTTGTCTAGCAAGGTTGAATTTCTTGCAGTCACTTCTCTTTGAATTTACAGGGTTTATATGCTAAAAAGGGATGAATGGTAAACAAGTTTACACGAGGGAATCGATACTACACCACTGAGGGAGATAGCAGAGCTTTTAAATTAGACAAGAGATAGCTTTTCTAAAGAACTATCACTAGAAAGGACTGAATCTGGATTGATTTCAGCTCTTGGATGCAAATTTGGCTTGAGAGTAAGAGTTTGTTTGTTTGTTTGTTTGTTTGATTGGTTGAGTGTCTCTATCTTTGTTGTCTCTTCTTCCTTTTATAGACAAGTTAGCTCAACTATTGTAGCTTTTGCTCTTGCCCGAAAGTATTTAGAGGGTAGTGAGTCATCAACTTTCTTACTTGTAATGCCATTGGAAAATGTTCTTTGGCTGATAGTAGGTTAGTCTCCATCACTTGTTACTTCAATTATAGACACGTGGCTTGTGTTTCTTGGCTGAGAAAGCCTTAATTTGCTTCTAGGTTTGATGCTGGGCTTCGGGCAAGTCCTCTTTTAATTGGCATCCTTGGGCTTTTCGTCATTCGAGCCCTTTGTTCAAAAATATTTGGGAATTTTTGTATTGTATTTTTACAGAAGCTAATATATATATATATACACACACACACGCAAGAAAAACTTGTGTGGAGTTTGGCTTGCCATTGAATTTTGTTGAGTGGCACTACAATTCACTCACACCTTGCCACATGACAAGTGTTAAATATAATCTTTTATCATTATTTTTTATTTAACATTCTCATAATTATTTTTTATACTAATTAATATACATCATACACCATGAGATCAATCTAATGGTCCTCTCTCCCATTTTTATTCCCAAAATTTTCAAATCTCCGTTCTCTCAGCATTCTCCTACCAATTGGAAAAATCAAAATTAGACTAACATATTCTTAAAATACTCATAATAAAGAAAAGTAAATGTTGTGTCAAACATAGCCAAATAATTCATATTATAAATATAAAGAAGGGAATTTTCATGAAAAGGGTTTGGACTAAGTTTATTTTAATAAAAAATCATGCTATAACTTTATTTAATTAAAAAGACTTAAATTTTAATGAAAAATCCTTAAATTTTAATAAAAATGACAAAAGAACTTAAATTTTAATGAAAATGACATAATTTTAATATTAACAAAATTTAAAAAAAAAAACTGACGCGTGGACTCATACGTCCTCACACTGTTTATGAAACTTCTACACTGTTTATGAAACTTACGACACTATTTATAAAACTTACTGCATTGTTTATGAAAACTTACAACACCGTTTATGAAATTTACTACACTGTTTATAAAACTTAATGGTACTACCCCACTGTCTTGTGTTTGTAACCCGGCCCACTTTCTTTTCTTCCCCTTTTCTTTCTTCTTTTCCTTTTCCCCCGTGAATACTCCAGAACTCTCTCTCTCTCTCTCTCTCTCTCTCTCTCTCTCTCTCTCTTCAAACTCTCTGCCTTCTCGCTAAACCACCATAGCCAAAAATAACTCCAAGCACCATCACTACAAATTCCAATTTAATTGAGATCCCAAACCACCAAATACAAGACCTGCGCAAGCGGGGATCCCTATGGTACCATTGCATGTTAAATTCTATAATGGGAAGTAGGATAATCCAAGTAGGGGTTCTCGGTGAGAGTTGCTCTAATGGAATAGAGCTGCAAACTTTGAAAATAGGAGGTAAAATTAGCTTGGTTTTGTTGTAATCTGCTGCTAGTAATGTCTTCTAGCATCTTGGATCAAATCTGGGTTTGAAATCTGGGTGTGATGGAGTTTTGGGTGGGTGGGTAGGGGACGTTACACAAAGGATATTGAGAAGAAGAAGAAAACAGAAGTTGATATTAGTCATGGCGACAACTGAAACAGACACAAAAATCACAAACCGATCGATTTTTCTTGTCTCTTCGCTTCCTCCTCCACCCTTTAACAAAGCATGGCCAATCTTTTATTCGATCTTCTTCAACTCAACAAAATCTACCCTAGTTACATGCTTGCTTTTATTTTACATGCACACACACTCTCTCTCACTAGATTGATTACTAGCTACCTGCTGCCACTGGAGTGCCTTTAATGGAGCTAGAATCATACCTAAGAGGACTGGAGTGCCTCCCCGGTCCAGCCGAGGAAGCAGCAAATGACAATTGCTTCTTTACAGACGTCATTGATCGCGATTTTTATTTTTTATGTTTTTTTATTTATTTAATTTTTTTTCCTTATCATTAAATAAAATTAGTGTATGGTTTTCATTAAAATATAAAGATTTGAAGTCATTTTCATTAGTTTTCTTATAAAGAAACCTCATCATCTGAACCCAAAAACCCCTGATTATAAGAAAGAAACAAATAACCCTAAAACGCGATCAAACAAACTATTGTATAAAGAAGAAGAAGAAGGAAAAAAAAAAAAGAGTATTGTTTAAAGAACCAAAAACACCCAATTGCCGCTGGGTGCCTTTTTTTTTTTTTTTTTTTAAGAAAAGAAAGAAACAGGGAGAGAATAAAATGAAGAGTCATACACTAAAATATAATTTGGAGGGAACATTTGGGAAGAAAAAAAGGGGATAAGAAGAAATTAGATTGATTTTATGATGGATATTAATTAGTATAAAATTAATTATGAGAATGTGAAATATAAAAAAATGATAAAAGATTATATTTAAACTTGCCACGTCGTGAGTTTTTGAGTAGATTGTAGTGTCACTCAGCAAAATCCAATGAAAACCAAGCTCCACACAAATTTTTCTCTATATATACAAGCTAATTACAAGAGAATGGGAAACTATAAAATTGCAGGAAATCTTAATTACAAAATCAAGCATAGATGTCAACAATGCCTAACTTGTCGAGTGAACTATAATATACTTTGCTAACATGACTTTTGTAAGAACATATGCCACTTGATCTTCAGACTTAATAAACGGTATATAAATTAGTCCAACTTCCAATTTATATTTGATGAAATGTTGATCCACTTCAACATGTTTAGTTCGATGATGTTGAACTAGATTGTGAGCAATGTCGATCGCAGCCTTGTTATAACAATGCAACTTCATTGGTTTCAATGGACTAGAGCCAAAGTTTGACAGTAAATTTCAAACCCACAACAACTCACAAATGACATGAGACATACCTCAAAACTCTGCCTCAATGCTTGATCTGGCAACAACATTTGGCTTTTTGCTTCGCCAGGTAACGAGATTGCCTCCAACATATGTGAAATAACCAGAAGTTGAACGTTTGTCAATGATAGAACTTGTGCAATCTAGTGATAGAACCTACCCAATATGCATCTGTAGACCCAGAACCATCCAAGTGACCTTGTTTTGAAAACGTAAGTCCTTCCCCCAATCATCCTTAAGGTATCTCAAAATGCGATCAACTGCACTATGAGGCTCAATACTAGAACATGCATGAACTGACTAACCACACTTACTGCATATGCAATATCTGGTCTAGTGTATGCTAAATATATTAACCTTCCAACAAGGCGCTAGTATTGTCCCTTATTGGTTGGTGTTTGATCTTCTTGTTTGCACAACTTGTGATTCATCTTTGTAGATGTAGCAGCAAGTTTGTAAGCAAGCATTCCAGTCTTTGTTAGCAAAACTCCATCGCGTATTTCCGTTTTAAATAGGAAACTACCTTTCGGCCATCTGGACAATTCAATCCCCAAGAAATACTTAAGAGAGCAAGGTCCTTCATCTCAAACTCTTGAAACAAGTATATTTGTAGTGCAACTCTTTTCCTATCGCCACCATGTCACCTACATAAACAACCAATGCAATGATTTTGTCAAATAAAACTACTATGATAAAGCACTGATGTCCTTGTCGTCTACTGGTGTTATCACTGGACTTTGATGAGTAACACTACAATACATGCAAAACTCGCCAGTTGACAAGCCTTAAATATAATCTTTTATCATTCTTTTATATTTAAAATTATCATAATTATTTTTCCTACTAATTAATATATAATATGGATCAATCTAATGTTTCCTTTTCTTTTTTTTTTTTTTCCTTCTTTTCTCCTATTTTTTTTCTTCCCAAATTTCCCTCCACTTTGTTTTGCCGTTGGTGTTCACTGTCTCTCCTATTTCTCTCTTTCCCGATTCTGTTTCTTGCCTTCCTTAAATAAATAAAAAATATTGCACCCTCTCCAATTTTATCATGCAAAGCAACCAAGAATCTGTAAGTTTTTTTTCATTCTTTATACAGTAGTTGATTTGATCATGTGAACTTGACATGAATAACCCACGTATATATAGGCGTATTAGTTTTTCTTTCTTTCTTATTTTAATTGGGGATTTTGGGGTGAGGGTGAGGGTGTTTGGTTTCTTTTTCTTTTAAAAAAAATGCGGAGATGCTGGAAATATAGAGCTCATGGATTGAAAATGGATAAATTGAAGAACAATGTGAGATTTTTATTTATATAATCTAGCTAGTTGACAATTAGTCAAAATAATTTTTAGATTCACTTTGTATATCAAGTTTTTTTAACAGCTTATGTTTTGATCAAAGTTTAATTTTCAAACAGTATTATCTATAGTTCTTAATTATATTGGTAGAGATGTACTTTCTTGAAAATAGAAAGCTACTACAATCAAAACAAAGTGAAAGATAACATATAGAATGTGAAAAAATTAACTTGATAATCTGGAGTGTGCACTTTTGTATTTAGAGAGAGGAGAGAAACAGTGGGGGAAAGAAAACGGAGAAATTTTGAGAAGGAAGAAGGTGCAGAATTTCATAAAAAGCAAGAAACAAAACTCGGAGAGAGAAAGAAGTGGGAGAGATAGTGAAGACCAACGGCAAAACAAGATGGAGGGAAATTTGGGTAGAAAAAAAAAAAAAAGAAAAGGAAACATTAGATTGATCCATGGTACATATTAATTAGTAGGAAAAATAATTATAAGAATTTTAAATATAAAATAATGATAAAATATTATATTTAAGACTTGCAATGTGACGAGTTTTAAGTGGATTGTAGTACCACACTGCGAATTCCATTGGCAAGCCAAGCCCTACACAAGTTTTTCTCGTGTTGTTAGTCAGTCCAAGTTTCATCAGTGAAGACTTCTAGGCCTGCTGAAATACCTTATTGAACTCATAGTCCGTTTGTTGTGTTACTTTTAGTGCAAAAAAAAGTCCAATATGCCACTTAGTATTACGGTTTAGTGGTATTCCTCTTCACTTGTAATTAATGGTGAAGCCAGGAATTTTCGAGAGGAGGGGCGGAATTTAAAAGCATTAATAGATTCTGAAAAAAAAAAATTAGACAATGAATTTCTTTTAGATAGTAAACAATATTAATGTTGTTCATAATTTATCTATACAAACAAGTTGTAATTGTTATCGGTAAGGTTTCATGTCATGATATCACATAATAAGCTCATTATCAATAAATGCAAAATCATCTTTCAATATAAACAACCAAACTATCACACAATTGTTGTACATCTCTCTCTATGTAAACATTTCTTTCAATAAAAACAAAAACATTTCTCACATAATATGAACACTAATACCTTTCCCCACAAAACTTTTTGTATATATGAAACAAGTTCTGGAGTCATTATTTCTCAAGAATTAAAAGAAAATAAGATAAAATAATTTTAAATACTAGAAATAATAACAAGAATTAAAAAAGAACAATAACAAACATTAACATCAACATTTGTTTGTTTTTTTTTTTTTGAGTACATCGATATTTTTACACTAAGGGGAATGGGAGTTCTGCTAAACCACACGATGAACAACCTAATGGAGGGGGAGTTCGGCTAAGCCACATGATGGACAATCTAATTTGGTATCGAATTTGCCATGTACAAGATTCGAACCTAAAACTTCTCATTTTCAAGTGAAAATGGATATCACTAGACCGTAATACCGAATGACAACCTTTTATTTTTCTTAAATCTAAAAGTTTAAACAAATGAGACAGAGGGAAGATAATTTTAATTGTGCAGGGGTACTGCGGTTGGAAAAGAAACCACATCAATAGAATTAAAAAGTAAAAATAAAAATAAAGGAGCCCAACCGCACTGTTTCATTAAAGGAATATTGAGTTTTATAACCAAAACATATAATTATGTAAACGACGCAGTTGGGTTCTAAACAAAATTGGATCGTCATCTTCCCTTGATATCAAAACCCAGCAGCGCAACTCAGCGTAGCAGGTTCAAAAAATCGGTCGGAATTCTCACTCTCAGTGGCGATTTTCGACTACGTCGTGTTTTGGCCTGGCTGATTTTAAAAAAAAAAAAAAAAAAAAAGATTGAATGCAGCTCTGCTGCGCGCAGAGCAGAACCAGACAGAGACAGCACCGGAGGAGATGAAGAGCAGCAGCAGGAGGGGAGGGGCTAGCCAGCGCTCCAGCCCTATTTTTCCGGCGAGGAGAGTGGTGACCGCCACTCCTCGCCCTCACGTGGCTTCGCCACTGCTTGCAAGTGAACGTATTAAGTTCTATTTTCGCCAAAGGTGAATTTAAACCACATTATTGCTAGCCTACTATGAGAATAAGCACATCTCATCCCTTTAGTGTAGATAATATCATTTGTTCAAAAAAAAAATTCCAATATAAATTTGAACTGTAATACTGAAGTTGAAAAGCAGGGTGCACAAACGAACAAACAAAATACTACACTTATTCATTGACGAAAAAAAAAAAAATTGTAATGAATACAAGACTCCTATTTGTGGGAGAAGACCAAAGCAAACCCTAAAACTTAACAAACAAGACAAAGAACTCTAATCCTTGACCCACAGGAAAACTAATAACTCAATAAAAACCCTAAATTCCAACAAATGATCTGTGTAAGAATCAACCTGCAGCCTCATTCTAACCACTGAGTTGAATCTACAATTTTACTTTTTCCGGTAATCAGTTCCTGTGGCGCCACCCCTTCTATTGACATCTCCGTTTTTCCCAACATCTCTCATGCTACCACCGTCAAACTCGATCACAAAAATTACCAAATATGGTTGGCCCAAATTGTTCCTGTACTTAAGAGTCTGAAACTCAAGTCTTTTGTGGATGGTTCATCTCCCTGTCCTTCTCAGTTTCTCTCCGACAATGCTGGCAACAAAACCGATACCGTTAACCCCGATTTTGAAGATTGAATCCAAAAGGACCACCTTGCTCTATCCTGTATCGATTGCTCCTTAAGCCCTCATGTGCTCGGCACCATCGCTCACCAGTACCGTACTGCTCGTGAAACTTGGCAAGCTTTGGAGAAACTGTTTGCCTCTTCCAGTCTGAAACATATCTCGCAGCTCCGCAGTGATCTTCTTCATACTACTCGTAATGGTAGGAGGATTGCTGAGTTTCTTTCTGTTGTCAATATGCTTCATTTTCGGTTTCGGTTTCTATTTCTTTTCGTTTGCCGGTTTTCTTATTTCTTCTGTTTAAGGTTGTTTCTTGCTGGTGGACAATTCCGGTCAAATTTAATATATGATAGCATTATTTATCACAAAGTATAGCATAGCATTACAACTGAAACTTTTATTCAATTTGCATTTTATTCCATCCATTTAATCATCTAAACACGAAATAACATTGAACTTTGAACGTCCTTTATTGGTGGTGGTGCGGGCGACCTCCGACTTTAAACCATCTTAACAAACTTAGTGCCTTTTCTCCACGTCCACGACTCAGAGGGCGACTTTGGCAGCGGTGGAAGCAACACAGCCTTCCGGCAAAGCCCAAACGGCCAGCCCTCACAATGACTGAATTGCCGAATTATGGACTGCTGCCTATGAAAATCTCCAAACTCGATCCCACTAAGGCTCGAACAACGCGACAAACTTGTCTTGACAGAAAGAAACACGTCTCTACTTGCAGCGGTGCTTGAGCAGCAAGAAAGGCAGCTTGCAACCGATAAAAATTCTTCTTTCTCATTGCCTTCGTGATCTTCATGATCCTCTTGCTTTTCCGCTCCTTTCTGCGTTATGAATAAATCTCCTGATTTCGAAGAGTAAACGAAAGAGAAGCTATCTGTCAAACTGCTCGGCTTGCGCCTCAGTTTTTCCATAGCACGGCTTCGAATGGCAGACACAATAACCTGATAGAGAAAAAACCAAGCAAACAAAAACGATAAAAACAACCTGCAAAACACTCATGGGTTAACAGAAAATGAAAACTTTAGTATTGAAAAATATTCATTTCGGTTGACATGTAAGTACTTCTTTTTCCTCATCAAAGTCACTTGTCAGGAACTCCTCCCCAGCAGGGCTCGAAGCCGAAAGCTTTCTGCTGGTATGGCAATTCGCAAACACATCGTTGAGACAAGCAGCAAGAAACTTGCATCTTTTGGAAGGATTTGGTGGCTGTTCTTCTTCATGATGAAAGATGCTCATGTTGGAGTTGAAAAAAAGTGCTTTTGGTTTGTAAACTGTAAGCCACAGCTGCTTTGAGATATCTACAAAAGTTAGTGCTTTTGGTGTGAGTTATTCTTACTCGACATGATGCTCGGATTAGACCTTCACCTGCTTTTTTTGACAGTGGCTTCTCAGCTTATTGGGAAAATGGAGAATACTGGTCTCTTTTCTTTGGGGTAAAGACAAAGCTAAAAAAGCATACTAGACGTTTTAACAAAAGCTAAAACTCCTCCCTTGAGGTTGAAAACGCTTTTGCTTATCTCACAGCCAGTAATAATTCTCATTGAAGAAGACTCTTGTAACTTCAATCCGTTTCTTTGGTTTTCTTCCCTATATTTATTATTTAGTACTTTTTCTGTTGTCCGTTTCTTTGGTTTTCTTCCCTATATTTATTATTTAGTACTTCTTCTGTAGTTTTCAATTTACACTTTAAGTTGAAGTTATGGAGAACTAGGACATGATACCAAACCCAATTTTGACATTTTAGTATTTATTTTCTAACAAGACAGTATTCTGAACTACTTTAAACTACAAGAAGGGAAACTCGAACTTCAAGTGCTAAAAGCAGGACATACTGTTTTAACCAACTGACCTAACCTGCGCTTACGAAGTTATTTGTTAAATTTTCCCAAAGTGGGAGTGCTCTTAAAGTCTATATCTCAATGGATGAAAATCATGATACAAGTTAACACATAAATTTGGCATCTTTCCCCAATTTCATTTTCATTGATGACAATCAAAATTAGTTGAATTCAATGTGATGTCCCAACAGAAAGGGCACTTGCATGCTTTCTTCAGCAAAAGAATTAGAAATTTCATGGGCATTAAGTTCTAGTAATATCATAACAAAGAAAAATCATGAGTCTGAGATTTCTTGAGCAATATCTTTGATTTTATTTTCTTTAGTCTCCCTCCACATTGAGTTCATTAAAAACCCTAGATGTGAAAATGGATTGAGACTTAACTGCACCAAGTATGCCAGTGAGACGGTTTCCAAAGCAATAAAGAGTTGCCAAGTAGAAATTAAAACACATGACAATGCCTGTCACTTGCCTTGAATACTATTAGGTTGAAAGTATTAAGCAAGTTCTTCTCGACAACTAAACACATAATTGCATACAACCGGTAACACTTATAGGTCAAATTTACTACAAAATGGCACCTGTCATATCTAAATTAATCAATGAACCAAACCAAAATTTAAACAAGAACATAGGAAATCCTCTACTAGTGATTAAACATGGTTAAATACATCATTCATATCTCAACTTGATCAGACAAGAACAAAGGAAAATTCTCCACCTTACAAGTGCTCTGTAAAGTTTAAAAGCATCATCTCCACCACCAACACCAACCACGCTCGTGAAATCTGCTCCCAACACTAATGTCAACATGTCACTGGTCCCCAATTGATTGATCATTCAATAGCTCCAAATTATTGTTGCCGACCTCCAAATCCGCATGACCAAAACATGGAAAGTTGGAGTCAAATACTCAAACTTTTCGTCCCACCAAAATTCATGTTGTCACAATAAGTTGGATCCAAATGCCGGAATAGTATAATACACAAATAACCAAATTTTTTGATGTGATAATAAATCCGCTGCACTCGAGATCCTAAGTTCGATTTCTCCTTCCGTCATTATTTGCATTAATTAAAAAGGACAAGATATACTCAGCTGGTGGACTTTTGCAGATCCTGCGTTCGATTCCTTCTCCCCCGCCATCCTTGCATTAGTTAAAAATGAAATGATAAATATAAACTCCGAGATATTGTGTTCGATTCTTCCCTTTTCGCCATCGCTTGCATTAATTAGAAAGGACAAGATAAACTCAGGTGGGGGACTTGTGGAGCTGCTGAGATGTGAGAGAGATCAAAGAGTGGAGCTTGGCCACGGCAGAGGTCTGGTCAGGTGGGCACTTAGAGAGAGAAGTGTTTAGAGAGAGAAGGGCCTCGTCGAGCTTCCCAGCTGCCAATGCTGCGCAGCCTGCCTTGTATGCTTGGTCCGCCATTCTTGCATTGAATACGGGTTGATCAGAGCTCTCGGTTTTCGCCATCGAAGACGAAGAAGACGGAGAGCCGAGAAGATCGGTGGCGCGTGCGTATTCGAGATTGCAAATTGCTGTGTTGATCTCCGCCATTAGAGCTTCCGGCATTGCTTTGATGGTCTTCAGCTTCACGCCATCGAACACACTCCGCCATTGGGAGCTTTTTTCTGCAGGACCCATCTCCTGTTTCCGATTTACAGAGAAACCCAATTGTGGATTTTAGTTTAAAATCCCCCAAAACGCAGAATCGTTGATGAAAATTAAATTTCTTTATTTCACAGGAAGAACAAAGCCCTAAATTTTTGTGAAATTAACAAGAAGGAGAAGAAATCGTACCTGGGAAATAGAGATTTTCAACTTTCTTGGATTGATTGGAGAACCAGAAACCTGATCGGATCGCTAAGCATCGTAGACGTCAATTTTGATTATGTTTCTTCAAATTTTTTTTTTTTTTTTGTAATTTAGAATAAAATAAAATAATGAGGTCCTGATTCATCCAAACTCATACAAGGGCCCGTACGATGTTGTTGGGCCGCTATGCTGTTCCAAAAGTTCCGCTTTGATTCTCGAGTTTCAATTGTCGCAATTTAACTCATATAATTTGCTAATAGTAGCAGTTAAATAATAAGATACTCAATTCTGTCAATTTTTTTGACTAAAAAGGTAAAAACAGCGCAATTGCTTATCCAGTGTGAATTATGTGCATCAAAAAAGAAAAATTGCAAATTCTACGAAAAATCTTGAAATTAGGACATTTTTATATTGAATCGATCAGTGAACTACAAAACTAAAATTGCGACAATCGAAACTATAAGGACCGAAGTACAGATTCGCCGAAACTACAGAGAACATAATCATAGTTGGCCTTTCTTTAATCTCTGTTTCAATCATCCCACTCATCCCATTTTCCATGAAATTTCAACTTGAAACACACAAGGCTCTCGTCATTTTAAGCTGTTGAAACTAAAATCTTAAGAGAAAACTTCGTCCCCCATTCGATGGTTATCAATGATCGTAATAAAGTCATCTGAATTGATCAATATCCGAACTTTCAAAGAACAAGACCCGCAAGGGACGACAAGCGATGCTGGCAATGCATTATGTGCTTCGAAAGATATCTTGTTTCCATCTTTTAACAAAGCATACCCCATCTTCTCCAACTCCAAAGAATCAACGAAGAAATAGTCACCGCATCGGCACTGGTAAAAGAGTTGAATGACCTCTCCCGCATCTTCAACCATCACATCTTCTAAGCTGATATCTTCTGCGACCATAGCATCATGACTAGAAGCTCGAAGCGCACTATCATAAAGTGCGCGAGACCTTGAATCGCCAAGGATTTCCCAAGCCTTTTGCACCTTCAGGAATCTATCTCCCGACCCAGATGTACTTTGCAATTTATCAGGATGACTATCAAGGATAGCAGATCGGTAGCTTGCTCGAATAACTTCATAGTTTGCATCTTGCTTCACCGATAGTATGTCATAGTGAGTTTCCTGAATGGGGTGGCTGCCAAGAACCATGGTTGTAGCTACTTGCTACCACATTAGCTTCACTGCACATGAAATGAAAAAATGTCTGTAATTTCTTTACACGTGAATCTAAAGACCCATCAAACGTAACTGAATGCTTGATTTCAAATCACCAATACTGCAACGACACACAACTTTTAGGTTTCGAAATTTGACTATCAAACAATCTGAACAAACACATAAGAGGACATCTAGATCAAGCATTCGGGTTTCTATTGCTCATATAAGCATGAAAATACAACGGCATTCAAGTATTGTGCTAATATCTCTGCAGCTCAATAAACCCTAACCCTTCTCCATCGTTCTACATGTCCACCCGAATGCAGTCCCTCTTTTGGGTTCCTCTGGTCATGCAGACAAACCAAAACATATAAAAAGCTTTAAGCTTGATTCATTAATTTTCTACTAAAATCTTTGACGGATGACAACAAGAGCTTGAACCCACTTGGGAATCGAAAACCTGAATCGAAATTCAACTAAGCCAGACAGGAATATAATCTTGCAGACTTTCAATGTCAATGAACCATAGCTTGAAATCAGAGCCACAGAACGCCCAAATGCGAATTAAACCAATTAAGCAACAACCCACTAACAGAAATTTCCGAATTCTTAACAAGAATAATGATTTCAAAGTGCAAAGAAAAAACTTGAGAATTATATCCAAATGGATTGTTGGTTTTTCTGAACCAAATAACGATCGGATTCTGCACAAATTCAACCAAAATACCAAGACCAAAGAGAAACGTAGAAATTAAGTTACCTTCGTGGGCCGAGCGAGCTCCAATCTCGCGCGAGATGGCATCAATAATGGTGGGCAAAGAATAGCGCGGATTGGAATCGCTTTAAACTCTCACAGTTTTTTTGGCGGCGATGAGAGGCAGCGACTCTCAAAGTGCTATAAGCGTGCAGGTTTTTTTTTTTTTTTTTTTTTTTTTTTTTTTAATAGATGTTAAACAATAAGAAAGTCGGTTAAGCCTCACAATAAATTACTAATAATATAGTTCAAATTCAATTGTAGCCAGAATCAAAAATAAAATCTTTCACTTTGAGTTTAATCTAAAATTTTTAGCTCACTTTTAAAATAACTAAACGTTTATTTTTGTGACAGTATTTTGAAATTTAAAAGCACTTAAAGTCCATTTGTATTGTTATAAAAGATTAATTTCAAAAGTATTTTCATGAAAAACATTTTCAATCATTTTAAAAGTAATTTAAAAAAGTACTTATGGTTCATAAATCTGTTTTATGAAAGAGGTACATTTCAAATGATTCATTCACGAAGCATTGTCAAATACTTTTCAATCGTTTAGGTAAAATCATTGCTAGCATAAGCACTTATAAGTAAAAAGTATTTGTTTAGTAGGGTGGTTTTATCGTCCAACTAACTCAAGCGATCCTCACTAAAATCATTCGCCAACCTTCACTACAAAAACACCCAATTCTCGGAAGAGAACGCTCTCCGGATCTACTTTGTAAATATCCTACGGATGCTCACATTCTAGCTATTCATCGTATATCATACGGTTAGTTTTCGTTAGATACTATTTGTGTTCAATTTTAAATAAAAAAAAGTCAAATGATTTTTAACCGTACAATACACAATGAATGGCTAAGATGTGAAAATCTCTAAGATCCTCACCATTTGGATCCAGATGGGATCCAATTCCCATTTCTCCACCCTAGAACAACCGCGCCAACTCTTCTAGGTTATCTTAGCAAACACCTTGTTAGTCTAAAGAACTTTTGTTCTCGAGAGTTAATAAATCTGTTCAGCCTTCCCCTCGTACCGTCGAGGTTCTCCAAAACTAGTTTGTTCAGGTTTTTGTTATTTGGAACTGTCCTTTGTACAATTGATGAGCATTACAAGCTAAACGAAACTTGAGCAACAAGAAACTGAAAACTTTGTACTCCTACTTTTAAAGATAGAGAGCATTATGTAATCATCCAAAGAATTAGAGAGTATTACACAACGTTCAGACACAGAAATTCATATCCCTCGTTCATTCGCGGGGAGAGTTTCAACGTCTAACGACAAACCTCACTATGCCTCCGACCAGGACTTCTTTATCTTGAATCATCGGCGCCAGACACCATGACAATCCGTATTACAAAAATATGATTGTGAACAAACAAGCAGCATGAAGCGTACCCTGAACCTTCAGTCGCTCCATTTCCCTCTCTTCAAAAATTCTCCCTATTTTCTTCTATTTTCCAATCAACAATTTAAACGGAACTAAAGTATATAAACCCAGGGAGACCATGATTACATATTCCAGTGAAGTTACCTTCGTTCGTGTGCTTTGTGATGTTTCCAGAACATGGTAAGCCTTTGCAGGTCAAGTTACAACGACAAGGGTTTGTCCTTTTCTGCTGGGAGTGGCGAAATCCTATCGTGCACCAACAATGCCAGAGGCCCAAGGAACAACAAGCGGTGCAGATGGATGGCGGTCTCTATATGATTCAGAATACTTGTCCTTAAAATTAAGTTTAGGCGTTTCTGCCTGCATTTTGATGATCGAAAACAAGAAACATTAGACTCAACTGGATCAACATAATCACGAACAAAAGGCAATAAAATCAAATTATACATAAATTGTAATGAAAGGGTTGTTTAGTTCTTACGTATTTAAGCCAGCACTCTCCAAGTTTATGCTCGTAGATATCTGGAGAATAGCAACCAGTTTCTGACGGGCAGTAAACCCATATATTACATCTCTTTTGATTAGGCTTAGCACGTCTAGCTTGGTCCAAGCAAGCCTGACAACAGTCAGCTGCACTATCTTTGTGGTAGTTAAGTCCCCATCTTACAGCAGCACCATCATAATCTGTATGAACTTCTGCATGGCATTCAGGAGGAAGTGGCCTGCCAGGCAAAATTTCGTCTACGGAAAAACAAAGGAATACGTACATTCAACACATGGAATAAGTTTCCACTATCCGAACGAGTAAACTTCTCAAAACTACCAGACAAGGATCATGACTTTTTCTTTTTATTTCATAAAGGAAAATACAAATTACTTTTGTCTAATGATAGAGAGAAGGGCGTGGAGCAGAAATTGATGAATTACCTAAATCGTCTTCTTCACCCTCAGGTTTATCATGATGTTCCGTGTTACGAATTTCAGCAGGAATCCAAAGGCCCATGTCTTCCAAAAGCCAAGTCCAATCCGATTCCAAAGCTTTTAGTAGCATTTCTATAGAAAACAAAATCAGAACAGGAAACACCAGAGTCCGTCAAAACAATCACACTACCGTTTATAGATTGCTACATCATATAAGTTCTGAATCCTAAAAAGAAACCACATGTAGCTGACAAATAATGACCATACCTGCTTCCTCATGAAGAATTGTTGAATTTGAAGCCTCAGTCTCAGTTGCCAACTGCTTAGCTTCTTTTAGTTTTTCCTTGCACCAACTTTCAACTACTTCTGTTTATTTAAGCACCCAGCATCAAAATGATAAGTTAATTACTACAAGTAATGAGAGAATATGTTGCAAACTTGTAATGTACGAGTGAGAAAGCACTCGATACTTGAACAAGGTGAAAGCACTTTACACTCGATACTTGAACAAGGTGAAAGCACTTTACACTTAACTGGAACATATCTAGGGTCTAAAAAAATGCAAGATACACACATATCTAAACTATAGCCAGTCTTACTAAAAAGACAATCAGTATTGGCCCCACTTAATCACAGGATAAATTGAGTAATTCCAAAGTTAACTGAAACAACAGTTATCCAGGTCATCATGCACCACCTACCCAAAGAAAGAAACACGGCACCAGAAAACTAAAAAAGCCACATTAAACTATAAGTGTTTGCTCTATTACGTCACAATTTTTTAGTGTTGACAGAAATACAGAGTATGCCTAAAGCAATCCCTTCCTTGCAAAGATCAGGTTTGACATAAAATCTAGAGAAAATTTATATGCTACCAGAATACCAGGAAGCAATTTGTTCCTCAAGACAAAACAGACAACCTTCTACATCCTTTCACATGCAATCTACTTAAACTTCACTTTAATCCGTCTAACCTTCAGTCCTAAAAATATTTTATTTCTGGATATGTAACAGATAATTTCCCTCTGAAAGCTGAAGCAAGTAGTTGAAATATTGGAAGCAGGAAATCTACCATACGATCATGCAACATCATAAAGAAATAGATAACGGGAAAGCATGCACAAACAGGTAATAAACTTATAGTAAAACATAAGAAGCTTAATGATTAAGGATTTAAACTAAAGCTATGAAATCTTTGGATTCCTCCTTTACCGAAACTTGTACGGTAGCTCAAGAGAACGGTACACTTCATTCAACCTTAATATGACAGTATTAAAGAACCACTTGATAGCTTTTTGAGTTTGTTATCAAAGTCGATAATTGTAGTTTCAGATACAAAAACTAGAATCAACACAGTTCAAAAATAAATTCATCATATCTATTTCAGGACAAAGTTGAATGTCACGGTAAGATAATTATGTTTAAACCATTTATACAAGATTTCAGATTTGATATTGCATGGCTATTAACTATTCTAGTGCAACACAACGATTTGCTTGAAATGTATTTAACAAAAAGAGATGAGCTAAAGAAAATAAAATTGAGCTGCATTGACCTCTCTGCTCAGTAATATTTGCGTTGGGCCTCAAGGTTTTCAACCTATTAATTATCTCATTAGTCATCTTCAGTTTCAAAGGCTGTGGCAATTCGACTGCTGCCTCTCTGTAAAGCTCCTTCTTAAGTGCCTTCACCTTTTGAGCACAACAGAATAGTCCTCCATTAAATTAAAAAGACTCACAGCTATCGCTCTACTGATTCAATCAAACAGATCTACCCACCACCAGAGAACTCAAAATGCATATCTTACCAATCTAATTAGCTCAACCGGTTCAGCTGCTTTTCGAATCCGAATTGATTCCTCCATCTTCCTAATCTGATCCGGAGTGTACTCAAAAGCTGAACCAATTCACAAACAAAACATTCCCTCAATTAAACCAGCATTCAATGTCGAAAAATTCAAAAATTCCCAACTAGGTTCTCTCAAAAACACCTCAAACAGTTACTGGATAATCCAAAGCAGGAAAATTTAAACAAAACTCATCAAACAACAAGCTAAATTCCCAGCTGGGTTCTCTCCAAAAATACCTCAAATAGCTAGTGGATCATTCAAAGAACCAAGATTTACAGAAGCTAGTGAGAGAAAATTAGACAGAGAGAGAGAGACGTACTGGGGCCTGTATCTTTATCGGAGTAGATGTAGAGAGAAGCGTAGAGAGAGCGAAGAACATAGAGAGCAACGGCAATGTTAATGGAGCAAACGATGAGAGTGGTCTTCTTGTACGAAAAAGCCCATTTCCCTCTACCTTTAAATCCCCATTCTCCTCCTACCCGAGCCATGCCTTCGTCTCTTCTCCTTCATCCCACCATATCCGCCGACCTCACAGATCGATCGGAGCCAGACCCAGATCAAAAACCCAAAAGCCCAAAACTTTCGAAGCCTCGCCTCTGCCGACGACAGACCCAGGTCGTCTTTTGCTCCAACGCAGCAGTGGAATGAGTGCTTTGGCTTATGGCTTTTGGCTTCTGGGCTTTTCTTGTCTTGCCTTTTTGGCTGCGATTTCGTAAGATTAACGCAAAGCCATCGTCGTAATTAGGATTAAGGAAGGGATTAATATAATGATTAAGGTTAATGAAGAATGAGTGGCCTGGTCTGCCCAGGGGGGATTAAGGTTAGGACGATAGTGATGATTATGGTGTTTTTCGCAGATGATTGCGTGATTGTTGGTGTTTGCTCGGTAGAGTTGGGATAGCTTAATCAACCTCTTTGCCTTGTCTCCTGTGTCTTGCGCTAACGTGCGCCGTGGGTGTATCAGCTCCTACTGTTTTCTTTTAGGATAAGTAATAGATTTGTGAGGAATGGTATGGAACTATCACAATCACAAACGTGAGACCCTTTATCATCTCACAGTTATAGTTTAACGTTAATCTGGATCAATAATATAAAATATTGTATTAAAAACATGATGTGTTAAAAGAGTCTCACTTTATAAAAATTAGATTGGAAACATTTTAAAATAAAATTATATCATCACCGAACACTTTAGTGTTATTCCAATACAACTTGTATAACTTGAATTATTTTAGTTTGAATCAGTCTAGATTAAACTCATAATTTCATATAAGTTAGAAACAATACATTAATTGACACACCCCGACCTAAATCGAGGCGTGTTGGCCGTCACGTAGTGATGACGTAGCCATGTGTGCAGTGCGGAAGTGACAGTGATATGAAAATGTGAGTAATAAAAAAAAAAAAAAACAATCCAACACTAACTAATTTACACTAAGATAACTATAAAAGTGTGCAAAGGTGTTCAAGGTAGTAATACAAGTACTTAGAGCGTAGGTAGCCTAAGTGCAGTCCAGCAGGCTAAGTATTAATTATACAAGACAGGAAAGAAAGTTCCTACATTATTTGAAGTCTGTCAGAACTGCCGTAGAATCCTCATAAGCCACCAACACAAACGTCTACATAGAACCTAAAGGGGCTTAAAACAGAAAACGTGAGTGGGCAAAAACAAAGTTTTTAAAACCATTTCTCTTTCCAAAAATAATAACCCTCACCGTAAAACCCGTATAATTTCCCAGAAAATAATAATACATACATATATAGAAATCATGCTCGAGAATAGTGAAAACCAAATATATGCCATGTCAAGTATCTTAGCATGGAAATAAGCCAGGTGAAGTAAATCAATGTAAAATGATATGCCAGCCAAAGTCACCTAACGTGACCTGTACAGCTGAACCTATAGCTCATCAGGTATGCCTGCACAATAGTCAGAGCCACCTATTATGGTCTGTACGATAGGACTAGGTGTAAATAAGTACGCTCAAATGCTACGATCACGTGATGACTGTGCGATAAATCGCGGGTCACCTATGAGTCGGAACCACCTATTATGGTCTATACGACAGGGTTGTGCACCAAACTTGGATTCAAGGTGAGTGTGTAATGCGGGAGGTGAACATCACGTGAAGGATTGTGCCCTGGCCACAGGCAGGAGCACTAACACTGGGGTGAAGGATAATGAGCTCTAAATGCGTCTACGTATAATCACAAACAATGCATTCCACTATCATCAATATATACTCACCTGAAGCTTACCTGAGCGTCCGCAACTTCAAGCAACAACGTGCATATCTATACTAGTGCACATTCTAAAATGTAATGCAATTGATATGGCATTTAAAATCGTAAATCCATTTAAAACAATTTAGGGGAAAACGTAAAGCATATATATATATATATATATATATATAACCAAATGTCCACTCACTGGTATGTAACAGGGTCGTAACCCTCGAGTCTCGCCTGGCTACGCTTGTCCTCCGCAAATGTCTCACCTATATGTGAAACAACTATTTTAACGTTAATTTGAAAGTACATAACCAAAACCGTGTAATAACTTCTCATACATTGCTCAGTTGAGGTGTTTGAATATATTATCGTGGCCTACTCAACACCACGAGCATCCCAATATTTTTAGAAAAATTTCTGATGTCCCACGCGCCGGCCATGCACGGGCACGTGCCTGGCACGTTGGATGGAAACCCTAACGGCGTTAGGGAATATTCCATTAAATAGTAGCATATACCGTTAACTTTACCTGACGCCGTCAGTATATTCTGTCAAAGTTGACGGAATATGCTCCTTTCTTCTCTGGTGCCTCGCCGGAATTCGTTGCCAGCTGCTGCATCATCGGAAACTAGAAATTCTTAAAACCTTAGTTTCTACTTCGTTTCAACACCAAAATTCACAAATTTAATGGAATCGAAGCTCTCAACTATGAGAATATAACCATACCTCTTTGAGGTCCTAAAATTGACGGAAAATGGTCGGAAAATCCTTCAATATTTTGGCTAAGTCTGCAACTCGATAAACCCGAGTGTCCCGATGTTCAAACCACTCCAAAATTGTTCCAATATGCTAAGGAAGTTGTATGGCGACTGCCACGAGTCTTAAATTCTTAGATAAATCCCACGATCATGTCAAAGTGGTTCAATTCCTCGCTGGAGTTTATGGAATCTCGGATTCTCGAAGTCAAATCACCAAACAAAAGGTATCACCAAATTCTAGAGCTCAAGAGGAGTAGGAATCTGGAAACATCAAGCTCGATCCGTAGAGTTTTGGTTTAGTTTGAGGGTAAGTGCTCTCGGTTGTATGGACAGAAGGAATTTTCGAGAAGAGATAGGAGAAGAAGGTTGCACGTGTGTGTGTGTGTGTAAGTTACGGGATTGACAGAAAGAAGAAAGAAAATAAAACTTGATTGGGCCCAAGGAGGTAGGAGCCCAAATAATTGGTTGTAACTTACCCGTTTACGCGCATTACTAATCGTAACTTCCTCATTACGATTCCGATTCGACCCTAACTCACGTCAATGTGCTTGTGACGTGTAAAATTTAATTATGTCATCGAGAAAAATAATTTAAAACTATATACGTACATCCACGTCACTAAGCCTTGAGGGCATAATCATCATTTTCACACATTCGAAGAGAAAATATATATTTATTCGGGACGGGTTGTTACATTGATTGTGAGAACAAAAAAAGTAAATGTTACTCAATCAGACTTAATTTGAGTTAGGTACATCAAATTATTAACAGGATAGCAAACATAATCATTTTTTTTTTTTGGTGGAACCAAACCTAGTCTTTAACCTTGTTGATTTGAACTTCAATGTCATCCGAGTCCAAAAAAAAAAATTTCATCTATGTCAAGAATTGATTGAACAAATATATATTTACTTAAATTGTGATTAGTATTTAATTAATAATTAATTTTGTTTTAATTTATGACTATATATCCCTATCCATCAAGCTACGTGCATGCATTTCATTTTATACAACAATGAAAGATGTGATGTGCCATAGCTTTATTTGATAATTTATAATTAGGAGGATTATAACACTAAAACCTTATTATTTAATATGGAACTATCAATCTGTAAGACCACAATATGGGCTCGTTTGAAAAATGATTTTTGATGACTAAAAACGCTTTTAAAGAAACTATTTTTTAGTTAGTTCTAAAACCACTTAAAGTGCTTTATTTAAGAAGCACATAATTGGTAGTTCTTGAATGAAGCACTTCAAAAATATTTCCAAGATTAACTTGCTTTTTTACTAAGAATTGGTTTCAAAAACATTTTTTTTTCTAAAAACGCTTTCAATTATTTAAAATGTGACATCCCACATCGTCCAGGAGAGTGATCCTTATATGTATATTCCCATCCCTACCTAGCATGAGGCCTTTTGGGAGCTCACTGGCTTCAGGTTCCGTAGGAACTCCGAAGTTAAGCGAGAAGGGGGCTAGAACAATCCCCTGATGGGTGACCCACTGGGAAGTTGCTCGTGAGTTCCCAAAAACAAAACCGTGAGAGAATGGTAAGCCCAAAGCGGACAATATCGTGCAACGGTGGTGGAGCGGGCCCGGGAAGTGATCTGCCCCGGGCCGGGATGTGACATTTGGTATCAGAGCCTAACCCTGGCTGCGTGTGTGCCGACGAAGACGTCGGGCCCCTAAGAGGGGTGGATTGTGACATCCCACATCGCCCAGGAGAGTGATCCTTATATGTATATTCCCATCCCTACTTAGCACAAGGCTTTTTGGGAGCTCACTGACTTCAGGTTTCGTAGGAACTCCGAAGTTAAGTGAGAAGGGGGCTAGAGCAATCCCATGATGGGTGACCCACTGGGAAGTTGCTCGTGAGTTCCCAAAACAAAACTGTGAGGGAATGGTAAGCCCAAAGCGGACAATATCGAGCTACGGTGGTGGAGCGGGCTCGGGAAGTGATATGCCCCGGACCGAGATGTGACATAAAAGCACTTCTCAAACAAGCCCTATATGAAATTGTTTCACTTAAAATGTATATGACTTGTACGAATATTTTTCCAATAAACACAAATTTATAATAAAAAGTTCAACGTGCTCATAATAAAGAAGAAGGGAACTTTAATGAAAAGCTCTTGACATTGTTCACTTTAACGAAAAACCACATTTTTACACTAAAAAGTCAATCATGTTACTATTCCCCTTACCCTTTATTTTGTCCTTATCGTTAAAACTCAAAATGTTCAAGCCATTTTTATTAGTTTTCCTAAAGAACAATGCTTGGCTATTAAAATAAAGTAGAAACTCTTACTCAAAATTCTTCGTGTTCAAATCATAAAGCTTTGTGCTTATAATCAGAATCGTGCATAGACGGTTTGTAATGCTTTTTACCAATTCCACTTATCTGTTTTTATACAATTCGATAACTAAATGACCTTAGTTTTAATTGATTTTTGCAAGACGAACTCTTTAGAGTGATTTATAATATAAAAGATTGCGATTATAAACACGAAATTGTATACATTGTCAACGAATGATTTTAAGTAGAAACTCTTATTGTCACTCAGTACTACAGTCTAGTGATGTTCTTTTTACTTGTAAGTGTAGAAGTTGTAGGTTTAATTATCGCCAAAGACAAATTTGAACAAAATTATTGCTAGCACATTATGAAACTATTCTTATTATAGAAAATATCGTTTGTTCAAAAAATAAAAAATAAAAGAGTAGAAACTCTCCTCATTCAAAGTAGCCAAGTTGTTATAATCTAAACAAGCCGTTAGACCAGCGACTAAAACAATCATAGGGCTTACAAGAGGAAGCAGTATAAGTGGCCCAATAGGCCGGACTCGGTCCATGTCTAGTTACTCGCTCCGAAAGAGGAAAATGGCGGGAAAATCAAGAACTGCAGAAGTAGCTTTACTAGGGCACACGCCCTCTGAGACTCGGACCAATTTGGGGGCTGCAATTAGATTGAGATCAAAGCCATGGAGATGAACGACGGCGAGAACGAAGAATTTGGGTTCTCCAGAAACTACTTTCTGGCAAAGGAGCTCCGCGGCTCCGGCAAGAAATCGCAATCTAAGCTCTCGGATATCGATATCGTCGATGAGCAGGTACCGCTGGCTCGAATTCAATTCTTTCAGAATCTTCCATTTTTTGTTGTTATTATTGTTAAAGCTTGAAACTTTGGCAGGAACTGGTTGCGGCGGCGGCTCAAATCGAACCAAACATGAGAAAGAGGTGAAGGATTTGATGAACAGTTACAAGAGTTCGTACCCAGAATGGGCGTTTGAACTGAGGTATTCCACTGACTCGTAGATTGATTAGAAATATTTGAAACGCTGTTATTTCAATTGGGTTTGTTGATTTTTCATTTCATATCCGTTTTTCAGCATCTAATGTTCAAATTGGATGGATTTTCGACTTAATTTTACTACGAAATGAGAACATAATGATCTTCTGGCTGCATATGCTACAAATTATACTGCTTTATGGTACTTAATTATATCATCGACCACATTTGGCATCGGAGTTTTTTCACCAATGGCAATGAGTGCCCTCTTTCTATAGGCATTTGGATTAGTATTTGGCTACAAGGAGTTGCATTATATCCTTTCTGCAATTGATTAAGTTCTGGACTTGAAGTCTGCTATTTACTAATGTTATGCTATTTTGATGTTATTATTCACCCTTTGCTTTATTGTTCGTAGATGTGGTCTTGGCCTTCTTATGTATGGATTTGGATCTAAGAAGGCCTTGCTTGAAGATTTTGCTTCAACATCGTTGACGGATTATTCTGTGCTTGTTGTCAACGGCTATCTTCAAGGAATAAATATAAAACAGGTAATATTTATAGGGAACACTATTCCACATCCAAAGCAATATGCAATTATTCTACATTTTCCTGTTGTGTGGTTTTATCTTATTGGCAATAAGAATTTGATTTACCGGGTTTTCCTGGCCTAGTATATTGTATGCAATCTGCTATAAACTTTATGAACAATGTGTGGATCACCTTTGTCTCATGTAGGTTGTCTCCAAAAGCAGCCTAACCCATCTTCCTTGTCGTCTGAAAATATGACGTAATATGGAAAGAAGAAAAGGGGATAGGGTTGAAGCTAAAACAAACATTACCATGTCCGTTAACATGTTATCTAATATTTGCAATGTAGGTTGTGGTAGCCTTAGCTGAACTTTTGTGGGATCAATTGAAAACCAAAAGGACTCCTCTAGAAGCTCGTCAAAAGTGCAACAACCATTTAGTTCTAGGTCCATGGATGATCTTCTTGCATTTTTGGATGGATCAGAAGATACGACAAACGAATGTATAGTATGTGTTGTCATTCACAACATTGATGGACCTGGATTAAGGGACTCAGAAACCCAACAGTGTCTTGCACGAGTTGCTTCTTGCTCTCATATTCGCATTGTGGCCTCTATCGATCATGTCAATGCACCTCTTTGTAAGTCTATTCTTGTTATAATTTGTTATATCGGGTTCTGAGTCTCTGACTTATGTTGGATCCTGAAACTTTGCCTCTATGTCTTTGTAAAAATAGAACTAAAGAAGAAAACCGTTTTTTGTTACCCTGCAAGACAAAAACTTCATACGTCATCAAGTTTAATCACACCTTCTTTCCATTTAATAGTGTGGGACAAGAAGATGGTTCACACACAATTCAACTGGTGCTGGCATCACGTTCCTACCTTTGCGCCGTACAAGGTCGAAGGAATGCTTATTCCACTGATTCTTGCACATGGAAATACCACCCAAAGTGCCAAAGGTGCTACAATAGTTTTGCAGAGTTTGACATCCAATGCTCAGAGCGTGTTCAAAGTTCTTGCAGAATATCAACTATCCCACTCGAACGAAGAAGGTAAGTAGCCATACTGCCTATATTAACTCTTGGAGCTTTAGCCTCTATAATCCGTTCCATCCGTTATTTGATAACTTGTGTGTTGTTCAGGGATGCCGATTGATAATCTGTACGCAACCTGTCGAGAGCGGTTCCTCGTGAGCAGCCAGCTTACGCTTAACTCCCATTTGACGGAATTCAAAGATCATGAGTTGGTGAAGACCAAAAGGAATTCTGATGGCCAGGATTGCTTGCACATTCCTCTCACAAATGAGGCACTTGAAAAACTGCTAGCGGACCTGAGTCAATGAATTGTTATTTAACTACTCGGTCTTTCAAAATTATGTGGATTTTATGTCCTGATACAAGTGGCAATAATCCAAAATTCTCACTCCCTGCTTAAAAAGTGACTGAAGTGCATCGAAACGTGTACTAATCTCCTCGCTTGTGCTCGGATCATGTGCGGCTCTGCAGTGTGTGGGAGGTTTCATTTTTATCGCATGCGCCTAAACAGAGCATTTTGTGGGTAGAAGAGACTCAAATATAGGATGATGAAAGGAGTGTCAATCAGCCTCTTTAGTTTTGGTAAATTGTACCGATTTACTCTCTCAACTATTAATTTGACGTTCAAATACGTCTCTGTCAAATTTTCTAAAATATTAAAAGCAAGAGTTTTTGCCCATTCAATCAGGAAAAATTGATTTTGGCATTGGACGTTCTAAAAGTAGGTATTATCGAGTATTCAGTAACGCTTGTTGACATTTCAGCATTCGTTTTCGTTTCAAAGCCTATCCGAAAGAGAATCGTGGTGAAAATTGAGTTGAAAACGTAGCTCAAATGAAAAGGACAAAGGACAAATTAGATTTGTTAACATTTACTTCAACAGAAAACCAACCAAACCGGATGGAGATGGACTGGACCTCTCAAAGAAAACGACAAGTAGTCAAACAACATTACAACGCGTATTAATCTCTCCCAAAAAAATCAAACACAAGGAAGGGTATGGGTCTAAGTAATGTTAGGCAGGTCAAGCTTTTTTAATTAAATTTGTAAATTAAATAATATGTTATTAATAAGAAATAAGAATGTTAATCGACACCTAATCAATAATTCAATCATCTAAAACCACATTATTTGATTTGCAAATTTAATACTTTAGTTTAGAAATATTTCTCTTCGCTTGTAAGTGAGAGATTTTAAGTTTGAATCTTGCCAAATACGAATTTAAACCACATTATTGCTAGCTCATTGTGAGGTTAAACCAACTATTCTCCACATTAGTATAGATAATATAGTACTCCGAGTCTATCCAACGTCCATACACCTCCGTCTAATAAGCCACCGCCACGTATGAAGAAGAAAGGGTATTTCCGTAATTGACGGCTCAAACTGACTGGATTAGGCACGCTTTTTTGTGGCGAAGTGTAGATGAGCGAGCGCTCTCTGTCTCTCGGTAACTTAGCAGAAAGTCCAAAATGCCCAAAGCTGGCAATACGCCCATACCATTCCCCCCACCTGAAAGCTGCAAGCTTTTTACTTGGGACGGAAACCAGATAATCACACGCTCCATCTCTTCATCCGTTTGACGGAATTGAACTCCAACCCAATAATCGTCTGCAGTTTCCAGAAAAACCCAATTCGAAAAGTCAGCTTTTTGTTCTGCAGAAAAGTTTGGGTTGCTGGGCGCGGCGGCGGTGGAGGAGGAGGAGATGTGGGGGCTCGGGGGTCAGTGCTATTGGGGGAGGAAGGAGCGGGGGAGCTATGGGATTGAAGGGATAGTGGTGGTGTTTGCGTGGATGTCGAGCCAGGAGAGGCAGCTGAAGAGCTTCGTGGAGCTTTACTCGTCTCTGGGTTGGAACTCACTCGTCTGCCACTCCCAATTTCTCAATATGTAAGTTTCTGTTCTGATTTTTTCGCTGATCTGGAGATATTTTTCTTATCAAGTTTCTGCTTTTGCTTTTCCAATTGGGTTTGACTTCTTGTGGTTAATCACTTAATGGCTTTTGGCTTTTTGGGTCGTTGGAGGAAATTGGTTGCTTAATATTTTGAGTGTTTTGGGAGTTATTGTGGTTAATTTAGCGGTAGCTGGATCTAGTATGTGGTAATTAATGTTTCCGTACTCGACAGATTTTGTGTGGGAAATGTTTTTGAGCCCCCCCTTCCCTTTTCCTTGGTTTGATGAAAACAGGGTTATGTTAAGCAGCTGCATGAAGCTGCTTAAAACCTTACTGTGAAACCCGCATGGGAAAAACCACGGTGAAGGAAATAGAGTACCCCACATGCCCCAACTATAAATTACATTAATCCGGACTCCATCCAAATTGACAGACCCTCCCGATTTGTGGAGTTCTTTGAAATTGAGCTGCAGAAATAGTATTTCGACAGCAGAGGAGTAGAAATTGTATTGGATGAATGTTGTCGAGTTCCTTGATGTATGCGGAAATTTGTGGAGTAGAAATAGTATTTCGACGGCTTGCAACTTATTTATACTGGTTGGCGGCATTTAGGGAAACATTATTGGCAGCAGGCATTTTACAGAGGAAGGTCTGCCTTTAATTGAATAGACAGAATAATTCTTTTGTAGAAGAATGTTTCAGGAGGAGTACTAAGTACATTGTGTTTTATATCTCCCTCCCTGTGATGATATAATTCGCCCCAAAGTTCAATCTTCAATTGTTCCAAAGCTCAAAATAACTCGTAGAATACATGATGTAGTTTCAACTTTGATGGGTGGGCTTTTGCGATATGCATTTGTAGAACTCGAGTTATTATATTTGGATCTGTCTGTTATTGTGGCTGCAATCATTCAATTAAAATTGCATCATTTTGGTTTTGGACTAATGTTTGATATACATGATTTCTGCAGGTTCTTCCCCGAAAAGGCTACAACTATAGCGACGGATATTCTAAATGAACTTGTTGAGGTCAGTTTTATTACATTTATCCAACAATAGGTTCAGAGAGACTAACGATCCTGTCTAATTGATTTTCCTGAGTAAAGTTAACCAATTGCCGCTTCCTTTTATATGAAATGCAGGAGTTGAAGATTAAACCTTGCCCAGTGGTCTTCACTTCTTTTTCTGGTGGTCCGAAAGCCTGTATGCTCAAAGTTCTTCAGGTAATTCCTTTTACTTCTTAATGCTCCATATTTTATTTGTATTTTCAATGTTAAAAGGATTTCACTGGTCATGTAAAGTAGCTTTCAATTGATTGAGGATAAGTATTGACTGCGTTTTTCGTTTCGCGCAGATAATTGGGGGAACCTGTGAAGCAAAATTGAATCTGGTATACTTTTTTTCTTACTTTCGCATTTCACTAATGATAACTTGACAAAAAAATGTTAGGTAATTATTAATGATTTTATATGTCAGAGGCAATATAGGGTGTTCCATTTTGACTAGTTCTTACAGTTTTGAAAGTTATGAACATCAATTTTGATCATTCGTAATCATTTCAATTTTCAACTTTTTGGCCCTGAAGGATGATTGCCGATTAGTTAAAGACTGTATTGCTGGCCACATCTATGATTCGAGCCCAGTGGACTTTACTAGTGATCTGGGTGCTAAATTTGTTCTTCACCCAAGTGTCCTGAAAATATCTAAGCCACCAAGATTTGCATCCTGGATGGCGCATAGCATTGCATCTGGGCTCGATGCGCTCTTTCTCAACAGGTTTGAGGCACAGCGTGCTGAGTACTGGCAGACTCTCTACTCCACCACTGTGAGTAATGACATATACTCCAGGTTGTCTACTCTCTAAAAATCTCGTTTTTATTTCTCTTCCCTTTATTCTTTATGATTCTTATGCAGGGCATGCAGGCCCCGTATCTCATCTTATGCTCGGAGAATGACGATCTCGCTCCCTATCAAGTTATCCATAATTTTTCGCAGCGCTTACGAGAACTTGGGGCTGATGTTAAACTAGTAAAATGGAATGACTCTCCTCACGTAGGTCTGCTTCTAAACATAAACTCGAAGGCTATTTATAACGAATGCTATTCCTTGTAGAGCTTTCAACCATACCGTGTTATTAAATTTACAGTTTATGTAGTATTCTTTTTCCCAAATTCTTATTTATTCACGTTCTTTCCTGTTTTCGAGAGCATCATCTAAATATTCTAAAATCGTACAACTTGATTCAATTCTTCACTCACAGGTCACTACAGGCGTTATCCAATTGATTACAAAGTTGCTGTAAACGAGCTCCTTGGTAAAGCAGCAGGAGTTTATTCTCAAAGAATTAGACGGCTGGAAGGAGAAACATTGGGCATGCAGGCAACACAAGATGAGATCGTCGACAATGAACCGATGAGTAGCATTAGAAAAGCTGCGGGAGGCTCAAATGGGTTTCGAGGAGTCACTCTGGCCTCAAGCGATCACTTCTTCACCACGCCCGTCTCAATGGAGTATGAGGGAGGTAGACATGTTGGGTCCATGCAGGAAGAACGGAAGGAAGGGATAATTCACGTGCATAACCCGCCAACTCCAAGCATGAATGCCCACGGGGTTCTCGGGCAGATCCTTTTTGACGTCTGTGTTCCGAAGACTGTTGAGGATTGGGATATCAAGCCATCATCGGGTTCTTGGAGCGGGAAAGGCAGCTCACTGGCTTCAAGAAGACGACATACCCCCTTTAATCCGATCAAGTGCATCCGTCGCTCAAGATTATAAGAGAGATCAAGTTTTTATCTTTATTTTTTCATTTCTTGCTTTCTTTCTGGAATAAGGAGGATAAGCTGATGATGATCTCCTCTACCATAAAAAATGTAGAGTGACGCTGTTCAATGACACTGAACAACCCTTAGGCTTTAGAGGAAGTTGTAAATGTAAAAAAGAAAGCAATAATAAATTAGCAAAATAATGTTTCTTGTACCAAAATAAATCTTCAGAAAATGAGTTTGGCGTCCATCAAAATCAGATTAATATCAAGCAGATGGGAAGAAGAACGAAGTGGACGACCCCCGCTTGTAGCGTGGCTGCTGCTTTCTGGTTTGATTCTGAGGATCCGGACACTGCATTCTTCTTTAAAGGTTTTTTTTTTTTTTTTTTTTTTTTGGAGCAAAGGTAACATGCATTACCAACGACAAACATTACAACACAAAGGTCCAACAACAAAAAACACAAACAAACAAAAGAGCCCCAACCAAAAGTTGAGACCAAAACAAAGAAAACACATAAACAACAGGAGCCGATGTGTCATCCGTCATAACCGCTGTTGCAACCACCAAAACAGCAGCCGGGCATGTCAATCTAGCCAAATTCGCTCCCCAAACAAAGCCCCGCCTTATCAGTACCAACAGCCAATTCCAGGCTTCACTCCAAGCCCAGCTATAGATACCTGAGAACCTGCAGCCAAGTGAAAGAAGCTCATGGCAGTCCACGAGCAACACTGCCAACAAGGGCAAACAACAAAGAGAAGGGTGGGGGTGCAAGGAACACCCGACCCAGTGCAAGCACCATATCAAAGCACACCAACTCGAAACACCACAACAAATTGCGGTAAATGGTGATTGAAGCTTGGAAATTAGATGAATATGGATGAGAGACAGAGGGAGAGAAGAAGGCAAATCGACCAATAAAACCAGGGAAGAAAATAACGGATGAAAGAGGAAAAAGAGAGGAAGAAAGAAACAAAAGAAAACCCACGGATCCCAACCGGAGCTAGGATCGACAGCACCAGAATTGAACTACCACTCACACAACTCGGTGAGATTAACCCTCCCACATAGGGAAGGTCTCTCACGGAGAAAGGAAAGTTTCGGGTTTTTAGAATACTGATGCACACACTATACATTCTTCTTCTTTTAAGTTTGGTTTCTATTCATGGTAATTGTATTGTAACTCGATCATGAATGCAAATTTCAGTAAAACAAAAAGAAAATTAGTTTTTAATTTTTACCAAAAAAAAAAAAAAAAATTTTGACTTGGGCACGCAAATCAACTTCATTGAAGTGGAATCAACCAACTCTTCTTCTTCAAAAGTCAAAATAACAGTAATCTTCTTCACCTGGGACACACAGCAGCCGATCACTTTAATCAGACATGAAGATACTCGTCACCGGCGCCTCCGGTTACTTAGGCGGAAGATTATGCCGCGCACTACTGAAACAAGGCCACTCCGTCCGCGCCCTCGTCCGCCCCACCAGCGACCTCTCCTCCCTTCCTCCACCGTCATCCACCGGTAACGCTTACCTCGAGCTTGTCTACGGCGACGTCACTGACTACGAATCCCTCCTCTCCGCCTTCTCCAACTGCGAAGTCGTTTTCCACGCCGCCGCCGTCGTGGAGCCCTGGCTTCCCGACCCCTCCAAATTCTTCTCCGTAAGCTCACTATTCGCCAAAATCCTAAATTGAATTAAAAATTTTCATCTCTTTGCGAATTCGATTCTTAAAATTAGGTCAATTTTGCCTTCCGATTCCGTTAGGTCAACGTCGGGGGATTGAAGAACGTGCTGCGAGCGGTCCGGGAGACGAAGACCGTACAGAAAATCATCTACACGTCGTCGTTTTTCGCGCTCGGATCAACCGACGGCGGCGTCGCTGACGAGACGCAGGTCCATCACGAGAAGTTCTTCTGCACGGAGTACGAGAGATCGAAAGCCGCCGCCGATAAAATCGCGCTGCGAGCCGCACAGCAAGAGGAGCTGCCGTTGGTGCTGCTTTATCCCGGAGTCATCTACGGCCCCGGAAAGCTCACCGCCGGCAACGTCGTCGCTCGGTTGGTCGTCGAGCGATTCAACGGCCGGTTGCCGGGGTACATTGGCTCCGGGAACGACAGGTATTCGTTTAGCCATGTGGACGACGTCGTAGACGGCCATATCAGAGCAATGGCAAAAGGTCGAACAGGTGAGAGGTATCTGCTGGCAGGCGAAAACGCGTCGTTTAAGCACGTTTTCGATGTGGCGGCGGTGATCACACAAACCGGCAGGCCGAAATTTGGGATCCCATTGTGGCTGATTGAGGTGTACGGATGGGCGTCTGTTCTTTTCTCTCGGATCACTGGGAAGCTTCCCCTGATTAGTCCTCCGGTGAGTTTGTTTCGTTCTTTGTCGATATGGCATCAATAATGTGTTGATATTATTGGCACCAACCAAACATACTAGCATGTTATTGAGCATTTTTGTTATTTCGATAGTATTAATGCACGTCAGGACGTCCTGCACACAGAATTTCTGTATGTGCTTGAATTTTGGGTGCTGATTTTGTTGTGTGCTTCTTCTGTGGGTGCAGACTGTTTATGTTCTGAGGCATCAGTGGGCGTATTCGTACGAGAAGGCGAAGGCCGAGCTGGGTTATAATCCTAGAGGATTGAAAGAAGGATTGGGGGAGGTGTTGCCATGGCTCAAGAGCTTGGGTTTGATCAGATACTAATCCTATCAACTTTATGTTGTTAACTAGTGAAACTTTTCGGTAGAACAGAATGTGGTGCTATGCAACAATGTGTTGATATCAAGTTGGTGTTTTTGATTTGTGTGTTAACTTTTCTTCTAATCCCTACACAAGCAGAAATGGTGAACCTTATTTTGTGACGGTAGCGATAGAGTATCAATGCGGTCTGAGTTCGACTCGTTTTTAGATTGCTTGAGCTCAATTCATACCATTCTGAGCGGGAGTTTGGAAGACTTGGGATGATCTGCTTGTTCTGGAAGAAATTTTCTGGATCGACGGCGGTCTTCACCGTCACTTGTTCATAGCTATTGTTTCCAAATCTATTCACCCCGAAATTCAAGGTCCCTGTAGTTCAAGAAAGCACTTCTAGGGTTCTTGGACACACATGGGGTCATGAATCTGAAACCTGATTTCCGTTTGTGTAATTCATCTCTGCTTCGTACCTTGCTTCTCCTCCAACTCACCGAGTACTGAACTTTGAACAAGTTCCCGGCACGGTGTTGAAAAGGCATCACATAGGCCGGAATCTGGCTCATTTTCCCGCCATACGGATTGAAAACCAACCCTGTTTTACCTATTTCAATCATCTGCTCACAGCAACTCCAACCTTCCCTTAGCATCAACAATCCGATCATCAATGATATTGTTGACAGCCAGGCTGTACTTGCTCAACATGTTTCCATACCCACCACCGCTTGTGTGCCCGCCAACACCAACCGTGGGGCAAATACGGGTCGGAAAGCTGTGGACTTTCCCCTTCTTCGAAATCCAATAGTACAATTCCCCGAGCGTGGTGGCAGCCTGAACCCAAATCGAATTGTCTTCGATGTATATATTGACCAGACTAGTTAAACATGTCAATGAGTGATTAGCGAGTCACGCAACCCCAATAATAGTATTATTAGTAATTTAGTAGAACCCAATAGTATTGAGTCCGAACTGTTGGGATTGTGTGGTTGGCTAATCATTACTGATAGTACATTAGTCTTGCTAATAAAATTTTGCACTAGGATGGAACTCTAGGGCTTGAGCCACCATGTGTTGTAGTTAATCATGGGACGCTTGTCACAACCACAGTACATGCAGAGGGATTTGGGAAACAGCAGATTCGGACTCATTAAACCCACAGTTGATTGCTGACCAATCAGCTTGACTGTCACGGATCAATTACTCAACGCAGCGGGGAACTTAGCAGTCCACTAGCACTGGGGTTTTCAAATTTCACACTTTGCCACCATTTTCCTCCTTTCATCCAAAGTTACAGAGAGAGAAGGCCCAAGAAAATTTACTGTTTGTTTCTCGGGAAAAAAATGGTAGCGCCCAAGTTATCGTACGAGGAGTCTCGCCGGCAGCGAATGGAGGAAAACAAGAAGAGAATGGAAGCTCTCAATCTGCCTATGCTTGCTCAAGCTCTTAAGAAAACCCCAAATTCCCCAAAACCCTCCCCTGTAATCCCCTAAAACCGTAAACCCCTCCTTCTCTCACCAAAAAAATCAGCTCTGACTCTTGTTTTCTATTTTATTCGCAGATGAAGCGCGCGAAGGCCCGCACAGTGGAGAAGCAGCTCGTGGAGGTGAGGAGGTCCTCCCGGGTCGCAAATCTTCCGACCCCGGTTTACAAAGAAGTGGTAGGTCCTTTTGTTTTTCATCTGAATGCTCATGTGCTTGTTTCTTTTTGTATTTCGAATCGGAAAGTTGAAAGCTTTAGTGATTTTGTGGTTTGTGGCAGGCTGTGGTGGATCGGGAGATGAGGCCCAGAAGGTATTCTACTAATAGACATAGGGATTTGTCAAACCGGGTTTATGCTTCCGATGAAGCCAGAGATGACGCCACTGCGAGAGCTGAGGCATTAGAGTCCGATTTGGGATCCGATTACCCGACCATGGTGAAACCGATGCTGCAATCCCATGTTACTGGTGGATTCTGGCTGGTAAATAAATCTGCTTTTTGTGCTCAAAATGTCGCATTTTCATACCCAAATTTCTTCTGAATTCTATATGCTTGTTGTTTGATAAAAAATTTACGAACTTTTTAGTCATTAAGGCTGTAATTTCCGTTATCTTGTATATGCTCTGAAACTGATTCAAGAACCGATTTATTCTTTCTTTTGCTCTAGGATTTGAGTGAAATGGATAACCCACTATTTTCTCGGTAATTTAATGAGTAATCCATCTTCTGCCTTCAAGTTGGACACAATTTTTGCAATTCTTCTTTCAATATACCTTGAATATAGTGGGTTATCCAGTTCAGCCTTATCCACCAAACGAGGCCTACATTTATTATCAATTATCTCCAGTATCCTGCTTCATAATGTGTATGAAGGAACAGTCAATTTCATACACCAGTATAGGTATACTTTCCCTCATTCTGTTTAATGCACTGCAACAGGGTCTTCCAAAATATTTCTGCAGTAAGAACCTCCCGAAGCGTGATGATATTGTGATTTTGATAGATGAAGATGGGGACGAGTGCGAGGTTATATACTTGGCTGAGAAAAGAGGACTCAGTGGTGGATGGAGAGGGTTTGCAATTGATCATGGTTTGGTGGATGGGGATGCATTGGTCTTTCAACTAATTCGGCCTAAAACGCTCAAGGTTTGGTTACAAGTTACAAAGTTGAACTAAAATTACAACTGTTTGCAAGTTTCTGCTTAAAAGTTTTAGCATTTCACAATTGGTTTGGTTAAATGAGGCTGATTATTTGTTAAGCTCCAAAATAAGTATATTGCCTTCAATAGATACCAATTAATTAAACTAGATAAGTGCTCTACATAATACTATTTTCTGTACAAGATCATCCTATCATTTTGCATTCCACTTTCAGTTTTTTTGTTTCATGTACTCATGTTGTTGTTTCAGGTGTACATTTTAAGGGTGGAAAGAGCTGAATAGGGCTACAAGCTTCAACTATTGTCAATGTTGGTGGGTTTTTTGTGGTCATTGTTGTCAAGGTAAATTTTGAGTATTGTTTCTCTCTTGCCGTTTCAGCTATGCGTTGACTAATGGAAGAACAATATGTCATCTGATTTCTACTGCTTCCTCGTCATTTAAGACCGCTGATGATATTTTCTACGATTTGTAAATGTGCATTTCATATTTAGCCTCTTGGTCGAGTCATACACTTACTTTTTGGCTTATGGGTTCCCAAGTTCTTCAACAGATCAAACCCAATGTTTGTTCTGCTGCGAGATTGAGATAGGTTAATTGACCATATGCATAGAAAGCCTACACAGCTGTGACTTAATGAACTGTAAGCTAGTTTCAGAGTTGATTCGTCATATGCAACCATTAAGCAAGGCATTTGTTTGCATTTAGTTAACTAGAAGAAAGACACCTCGAAAGTTTAAGACTAGTAAAATTTATCATATCATTAAGGTTATATGAGCATATGCATTATGCATCTGTCTGTATTATACGTAGAAACCATGTATCTTGTAAATTCTAATGCCTTGACTCGCTTGAATAGCATACTAGGATGGATGTACCCGAAGCTGCCTTCAGTTTTCACGTAACTGAACGAATTTATGGTCTATAGGTTGCTTTCAACAATCCATAAGTTGCGTATTTTGTCTTTGAATGGCTTTCTTCCTTTTTTGCCTCTTGGACTTGGTTGCTTTCTACATAAATGTTAGCAATTTTACCTCATCAGAATTCAAGCGATTTTGTTCATCTTAATTTCTCGTCTTCTCTCTCACACGGCTCTTTTACTTCTTATTGCAGGTAAAAAGGATTTTGGACAGACTATCTGTTTAGTGATGAGCTTAGTTGTAATAGAAACCACCAACGGAGCCTTGTACGGTTAGCGGACGAAGCAATCATCTGCAATCATATTTTTGAATGTTCACTGGTGTCCGTGCATCATCCGCAATCATATTTTTGAATGTTCACTGGTGTCCCTTTAGACCTGTATGAAGAACCCACGAGCAAATATGAATGGACATCCGATTTATTCTTATCTTTCCCGTTTCTCTGCTTCTATATTTCATAAACTAGGAACTTAAAACTTCGCCGTGAAAAATGGCAATCAATACAATCAATTTGCTTCACGCATTCATTTCTTTAACATGGACAAGCAACAAGCGACGATTAAACTAAAACCCTCAATTGTTTTACTTTGGCAATGGGATAAACTTACCTAGGTTTAGATGACGGTTTAGATGTTACTTTGTCAGTATCTCAATCTAATCACTTGCTGCTACATTTCACCCGATTTACAAGTTACTAGACCGATGGTAAATTTGGAAGTTTGAATTTGAAAAGCTGCGTGCATGAACGTCCCATTTTAATGGCAATATTTATGGAAGTGAAAACAAGGAGTTACTGCTGGCTGTGTGGGTGCAGAACATTTCTCAATGCAGTGGGAACTCAACGGTCGACTAGCAACGGCTCTTTTAAATATTCAAACTTTTGCCACCATTTCACTTCCTTCTTTCCACCCAAAACCCTAAAGAAACCGAGAGCGAGACAGAGAAAGTCTCAGAGAATTTTCTGTTTGGTTGTCGGGAAAATGGTGATGGCCAAGTCTAAGTTGTCTTACGAGGAGTCTCGCCGGCAGAGAATGGAGGAAAACAAGAAGAGAATGGAAGCTCTCAATCTCCCTCTGCTTGCTCAAGCTCTTAAAAAAACCCCAAATTCTCCCAAACCTTCCCCTGTAAGCTTAAGATCCCTCTCTTTCTCTCTCTCTCTCTCTCTCTTCCCACACACATACACGAAATAAACACAACTCACATTCTGCCTGTTTCTCTTGTGTTTTCAGATGAAGCGCGCCGGGAAGCCTCGCACGTATGAGGTGAAGATGGTGGAGGTGAGGAGGTCCACCCGGGTTGCGAATCGACCTGCACCGGATTACAAAGAAGTGGGTCATTTTATTTTTCCTCTAACTTGCTCAAAGTTTCAATCTTTATATTTTTGAATATGTAAGTTTCAATCTTTTGTGTTGTTATGATTTGTGACAGGTTGTGGCGGAGCGAGTAATGATTCCAAGAAGGTGCTACGCCACCAATCGGCATAGGGATATGGCGAACCGGGTGTATGCTTCCGACGAAGCCAGAGCCACCGCGATGGTGAAAGCCGACGAATTGGAGCTCAGTTTGGGATCCGATCACCCGACATTTGTGAAGACAATGCTCCAATCACATGTCACTGGTGGATTCTGGCTGGTAAACATTATTCTCATCTTTTGGACAACATGGTTTACTTTATTTGTGTTTTATACGTTAGAATAATGTAAAGTCTGATATCAAAAATCTGACAAAATAAAATATGACATAGAATGAAAGGATTCACTAATAATTGCATCCTAGGATTTTTGTATAAAACCGCTCACCCGTTGCATTGTGCATGTGATTAAGTTGGTGTGACTAATGAAACGCTAGTCCGTCTCTCTCAAATCTCAAAGATTAGAGCCGTCGCTGGACAATGTAGCAATGTGCTGTCAAATTCACATGTTTAATTAGTATCTGTCCAGTGTGCTGTTTCATATTGTGTATGCAATTGCAATCATATCTTGTGTAATTTTGGCAACAGGGTCTTCAAGTCAGCTTCTGCAAGAACCACCTCCCAAAGGGTGAAGAAATTATGACACTGATCGATGAAGATGGAAACGAGTACCCGACTATATACTTGGCCCCAAAAACAGGACTCAGCGGCGGATGGAAAGGATTTGCAGTTGCTCATGATCTTGTGGATGGAGATGCATTGGTTTTTCAATTGATTCGGCCTACAACATTCAAGGTGATTGGCAAAGCTGCAAAATAAGTGTTTTGCACTTGAATTTCAGATTAGTTTTTGCTAATCTTCTTTGTTTTCAGATTAGTTCTCATTTGAAGTGTAATGTACTAGTATTATCTTTTCAGGTGTACATTATAAGGGTGGAGAGACCTGGGCAGGCAAGCTCTGAAGAATCAACTTAGGTAATTGTTTCTAGTCACTCCCATCGCGGTCAAATTTACTGATTCCCGTGTTATAATATACTATCTACAAGGTATAATATGATTAGACAACATAATTGACATTTCATTTGTCAAATGGTATAGTAGTGAGGCTTATTTGGTAAGTAAAATCGTTAATTTAAATGATATGAACTGATGTGGCGTGGAGTATTGATTTAACAAATATTTACACATGCAATAAAATCTGCGTATTCCTTTTGGTCATTTGTGATGTCTTTAGGAACACCAAATGGAGAGGGCAGTTAGTACATCATATATAAATGAAGCAAGTTGTGATGCAACTGTGACCACAATCTGATGCTACTGTCTCTGTTTATGTAGAAACCATGTGGCCTACTTTGGCTGGACTCACGTAATGTGATGCAACTCAAAGTTGCCTTCACGCAAGTTAATCAATTTATTATGGTTTATATGTCTCTTATCTCTGAGACATTCGTATCCATATCCGATTGTATACTATGTTTACGCTCTTTATTCAGTAGCGAGAGATTAATAGAATAGATATACAACCGGTTACAAAACAGATTCTCTCCTTGTACTCACGATTTTCTTAGATATCCATTTTTGTGTACATTTCTAATCCCGTTAGTTAAACATAAAAAATTATACAATCAGTTACAAAATAAATTCTCGACGTATCTCCTCTCTCTCTCTCTCTCATACAACCCCTTCACTTTTTTGCAGGAACAAGAGTTGGGGGATTGGAATGTAGAGTTTTATATGTATATTTTGCAACGAGTTCCATTTGCTGCTAGAAAGGTGCATGTTTTAGGGGATGAGTCAATCATCTGCAATCATGTCTGGTGTCCATCAACAGATCTATATATGGAACTCCGTTGATGAGCAAATTATGAATGGACAGGAGCTGCTTCTTTATCCTTAATTCCCTTTTTTTTCCATTTATATATATATATATATAACAATACTTGATAAAGAAAGACAGCTAGATTGCATGTTATGTTACGGGCATGTGGCTTTCAGAGACTGAAAACTTTTGCCATGGCAAATGGCAATCAATTCAAGCCATTGACTTCATTGCCAATTTACTTTACGATAATGATTTATGCACCCTATTTTTTTTCTCTTATATCTCGTTCACGCATTTTTTGAATTTTTTTTTTTGATTTAATCAGTTTAAATGTCAGGAATAAACAATAGTGGGTAGTGAAAAAAAAAACTGTGCATGTGGAAATATATAGCCTTCTATACTGTGAGAATCAATACACAATCAAAACCACAGAGAAAATAGCTCATCTAAATGTAACTGAGACCGAGTGCAATAACAATTGGGTCTAGAGTTTTTCCTTCAAAACGAGACTATTTGGCGACAAAACCAATTTACTTTTTTATTTTATTTTTTGCAATATTTCGTCAACATAGTCTTAGTTTATTGGTTGTGATTATAAATTAAGCCAAGTGGAGACCCGTTGTTGTTTTATTATTTAATTTTATTTAATTTGCTAGGCAAAAAAGCTTTGAGCTATTTTTCAGTTAGTAGTAGATGACATTTATTAAAGTGACAAAAAATAATAATATCTACACATTTTGATGTGAATTCGACTTCACCAATCGTCGTCTTAACTAGTAAGAATTTAACCCGCTAATTTATTAAAAAAAAAAAAAATCCTGCATGTAAGAAAAGCAAATAAATAGAACATGCGTCTGCGTCTGCGTGACATGTATGAAGGATAAATCTGCGCTCCTGTACAGCGGGATCTATTGTACGAAGCCGAATGAGCCACATGGAATCCCAAGCTGTTCGAGCTTTTGAGCCGATCATTTATTAAAATAAAATAGAAAGTAATTTATTTATTAGCGTGACTGATTAATTAACTGGCGCCGAGAATTCCGGACTCTCCAGGTGGAGGACGGGACAAAAGGGGGTTAGGATTTTTTCAAGCAAAAAATATTGGCCCAAATAAATCTGCCTGTGGGTCCCCCCATACCAATGGGTCCCACAATTTAATCATAATCTTCCGAGTCTAACTACGTGACATTAACGTTGTGTTATGATTGATCTTTATCATTGAGCTGAAACGAAAAAATGGTTAATCATTATGTCACATTGTGGATACTTTGATAAGAAAAATGTGAAAACAAAAAGAAGACAAGTGTTAAGAAAACTCTATCAAAGTAGGAATTTCGATTGAGTTTTTATCACCTCATAATCTAACGCTAATTTTCGTATCAATATTATAAATCGTTGTGTTAAAAACATGACGTGACAGATAATTCATAAAAAATCTTACTTTTGAGTGAGTCTCTAACTCCCCTTAGCATTTTTCAAATAGTAATTGATGGTTTCATTGCTTGTAGGAATCAAATGCCACCTAAAACCAAGGTTGGGCTTCTCCAGCTCTGGCTCTTGTGCGGGCAGTGGTTAGCCCACCGCTTGCTCTTGCCTTTTTGGATTGGTTAAGGTGTTTCTTTGGGATTGAGGGCAACACTGTTGACTTGATTTTTACCTTCCACGAAGGGGTAAAGATGCTTTAACAAGTAATTAAAAATACCATTAATTACACTAACCGGCTGAAACGTTCATTGTGGAAGATTAATATCTTTGTGATTAGTGTTTTGTCGGGGATTATTTGTTTTGTCGGGGACTATTTTGCTTGACTGGGTCCTCCTAAGGTTGCTAAGAAGAAAAATAAAATTAAAAGTAAATAAATCACATAATTTGTCCTAATTAGTCGACCACATCAGATTCCTCACAATCAAGGGGCCCACTGGAGCCCACCATCCCTCGTGGGCCCACACAGAACTAGAGAGCGAGAGACAGATCCTTTTCGCTCTTGGCTCTTGCGCGCCATACAAGCCAAACGGCGCGTAAAAAAAGGGGCTCCAAGCGCCGAATGTAAGAAATGACGCGATTTCCTGCCACGTCAGTGCCAGGAAATAATTACTTAATTGATCAATTATTCTCTCTAATTTTATTTCTTTAAATTTTGTTTTTGTTAAAATAAGAAAGAAAGCGAGAAGAACAGCTTCATTTCCGCTTTTTCATCTCATTATTCGCTCTCTCGAAGGAGAATGGAATTTTCACAGTGCGCCGGGATCCGCGTTTCTCGATCACGCCAACCCGCCACCGCTGTCGCATCCGCCGCGCCTGGCCCTCGTCTCCTTCCCGCGTAATCGTCATTGCTGTTTTTGCTGATCGGTCCCACTCTTCCTGTACTTTTTCTTCTCCTTTTCTCGGATTCGTGTTCCGCATTGCGATTTCTGTGCATTTGTTAACAAAATTTACGGCTTTTAAGACGATGAAAGTCGTTCGAGTCGTTTGAAGATCTCGGTGATTTGTTGCCGTTTTAGCTTCTGGTATCGACGATTTTATTCTTTTTTGAAAGGATTTAGATTTATGGTTAGATTGGAAAATGCGTGAAACGGTGCGTTTGATTGACGCACGTATGTGCTGGTTTTTGCTTTGTTTGCAGGATTTGGATTGAGAATCGGCGATGGAGGATTAGAGGTAGGAGGAGGAGGAGGAGAGAGAAAGAAAAGGAGGGGGGAGAGAGAGAGAGAGAGAGAGAGAGTGTGTGTGTGTGTGTGTGTTGAGGTGTTTGAGTTTGGGGAACAATGTCCACCAGGAGCGAAAATCATCAGACGGTTCCGCTTTCGGTGCTGCTCAAGCGTGAATTGGCCAATGAGAAGATTGAGAGACCGGAGCTTATACACGGTCAGGCGAGTCAGAGCAAGAAAGGAGAGGATTTCACGTTGGTAAAGACGGAATGTCAAAGAATTGTGGGAGATGGAGTTTCTACGTATTCAGTTTTCGGGGTATTTTTCTTTCATTTTTCGTTTCTTTCTGTTTTGGCGTTGTAGACCATTTGAATTGAAGAAAATGTAGAAATAGCTAAGAAGTTAATTTGATGTTCATCAAAGGGGTAAACTTTTTGACTAAATGCTATGCTTAGAAATGTCGGTCACCTAGTTTTGGGTGTATGTTTGTTCATGATTTCCTTCTTTGTGTTTTGGTATATGATCTTTTGGTAATTAAGATGCATAGTATTTACATAAACTAGATGTGTTTGAGTATGTAGTTGACTGCTGTGATGGTTCAGCTAGCCATGTGCGCAAGGATGTGGCGGTCATGCTGGGAATTTCAAACTTGTGCCCATGTTTGATAAAAAAAACCCAAGTTCTAATGAGCCCTTATTAGGATTACGCTGATAAGTCTGCCAAAACAGTTATTGGTAGTAGATCGTAAACATTTGCGGTCCCTTTGGCTTCTTCCTAATCTGAGGAACGTGTTTTTATTCCTTTTTTCATATTCTATAAATACTATGGGGACCATTGTTGAAGCATGGCTATATTCTTACTGAACCATGTCTTGCAGCTATTTGATGGGCATAACGGGTCAGCAGCTGCTATCTACTCTAAGGAGAATCTTCTGAATAATGTTTTGGCCGCTATCCCTTCAGATCTAAACAAAGATGAATGGGTAGCAGCATTGCCAAGGGCTTTTGTAGCAGGCTTCGTCAAGACAGACAAAGAATTCCAAGAGAGAGGTATGGATAATTTTAATCTGTTTTTACTTTTAGCTCTTGCTTTACCTTAAAGTTGAGTATTGAGTCTATTGACCAACTCTTAATGGTTTTTCCTATGGTAAAATTCCTATCATATATGTTGGTATGTGGGGTTTTTTTTTTTTTTGTACAGTTTGAAACTGGATTACCTTTGTAACATATGCATGCGATTGAAACTAGAGTTACTAAGTAGATGGTTTGGCTGTGCCTGGGTCATAAGGGGAGATGCATAATATTATCCCTTGTTTGAGAAAGCATCTCAAATCCACGCTCTGTGTGAAATTGCTCATATATCCAACCTATACTGCATACTAATCATATTTTGGTTTATATAAAATTATAAGTTAACTGTATGCCTATATGCTGTTTTTTTTGTCCTTCTTCTTATAACTGTCAAAGGTTTAGTGGACTGTAGAGTTTACCTGAGTTCACCCAAAATTATTTAAGCTGAGAATTTAGTGTCCTAGCTTTATGGTTTATACTACATTTACTAGCACCTGTATAAGTTCATTTTGGTATGAGAGCTGTGTCTTCTGTTGACTTGCAAACATATCATAGCCTCATGCTACTTATATGTGGGGAATTATAGCTCCAGTTGTACAGCCACTCAATCCCCATGTCTATTTTTCACTTCCTTAGCCTAACTTACCCTAACTTAAACTCCCAACACATGCACATGCAATGTATATGAGATCCTTCAAAAATGTGTGTATGTGTTTTTCTTGTTTATATGTTTGTTATAAAAATGTTTTCGTCCATTTTGGAGATTGTGCATGCCTAAGGATATCAACGAATAAGTTAATTGTTGTATTTGAGGGTTACCGGTTGTATATTTGATTTTGTAATTTTTATGAGTTTCAGTATAATGGTTAATTTCTTGTTTTGTTGTGTGCATGATTTCATGCATTTTATTGCCATCTTTCAGCTAAAACATCAGGAACAACTGTCACATTTGTGATTATAGAAGGATGGGTCATATCTGTTGCATCCGTTGGTGATTCTCGTTGCATAGTTGAACCTGCTGAAGGTGGAGTTTATTATTTATCAGCAGATCATAGGCTTGAAATCAATGAAGAGGAGTAAGTTATCTGTATGATGTGTTTTGTGACTCACTTAATAATCTGTAACCTTTATTAACCCTCCAACTAATTTAATAGGAGGCAGCGTATCACCTCAAGTGGGGGTGAGGTTGGTCGGCTTAATACTGGTGGTGGAGCAGAGGTAACTTTTCTTCATGCCGTACTTAAGTGTATTGTTCATGAAGTTTTCTGTACAAACACAAATTAAGAAATGAAGAAAGGCATATTAAATCCTGGTGGATGAGACAAGTGTGCGTAAGGATAGGTTGAATATATGTAGGACCCTGATGTTGATAAAATTAATCTTGAAATGCACAAACTAATTTGGATGACTTTTCCTTGTAGATCGGTCCTTTGAGGTGTTGGCCTGGAGGCTTGTGTCTGTCACGATCCATTGGTGATCTGGATGTGGGGGAGTTCATTGTTCCTGTTCCTTATGTGAAGCAAATCAAGGTGTGTTTCTAGTCTTGTTACATTTAACAATGTTCATTGCCCTTGTTTTGATTTCCATGTGCTTGATTCCCTCTTGGATGTTGGTACCAAAAGATTCAGCAGACATTCATAGAAGCAACTATTATATTACTGTGAACCTTTGAAATAGTTACCCTTATATTCTTATGATTTCTTGAAATAATCATCTGTTTCTTTTCATTGTCGAAACTACAGTATTCTTTCATGCTTCATTTGAAATGATTATTTTAAAGAAAATGTTGTATTTTTTTCCCACAGTTGTCAAGCGCAGGTGGTAGAATTATCATGTCAAGTGACGGAGTCTGGGATGCTTTGTCTGCAGAAGAAGCTCTTGATTGTTGCCGTGGGATGCCACCGGACGCGGCAGCTGCACAAATTGTTAAGGTATAATAACAGTTATGGTTTTCAGTTTTCTGTAAATAATGGTAGATATTTATATATTCCATAGCTTTGGTGCCTTGACACATGGTTTAGATGCTTTGCCAGAGCTATTGTGCTGGGAGGAATCTTGCTTTCTTACTTCAATACTATGTTTTAAACTTTTTGTTCTACTTCCAGGATGCTGTAGGGCATAAGGGACTTCGGGATGATACAACCTGCATTGTGATTGATATTTTACCACAAGAGAAGCCACAAGCTCCGTTATCCCAACCAAAGAGGCACGGAAAAGGAGTGTTGTTTAAATCCATGTTTAAGAAAAAGTCCTCTGAATCATCTTCTAATGTTGAAAAAGAATATATTGAGCCAGACGAGGTGGAGGAATTATTTGAGGAAGGTTCTGCTTCACTTTCCGAAAGGTTTGTGCTTAAGAAACATCTTCATTATGTGCTTAAGAAACATCTTCATAGCCTAAACATTATTTTGATCTCTGGATCAGGCGTCACGTGAAGTGTTGTATTTTTGTTTGGAAGTTTTGTTATCACTTGAACTTTCTATCATGGAGTTATTTCATTATCCGTATAACTTTGCATGGTGGGGGTTTATGTTGGTTTACTGGATTCTGACAGGATTGTTGTGTGGAATGCAGGTTAGATACAAAATACCCGCTCTGCAACATGTTCAAGTTGTTTATGTGTGCAGTTTGTCAAGTAGAAATTGAACCGGGAGAGGGTATTTCAATACACGCTGGGTCATCGAACCCAGGAAAAGTGAGACCTTGGGATGGCCCCTTCCTTTGCTCGAGTTGCCAAGAGAAAAAAGAGGCCATGGAGGGGCAAAGACCATCAGGAAGTATGACAAACTTTTCCCCCCTCTTTCATTTTATTTTTATTTTATTCGTTTATTTGTTGTTTTTCAAATTTATGTTGCATCCTCTAATTTATCTTCGGTTTGTTTCTTTCAGGAAGACGCGATAGCGATAGTGATTAGGCAACACTTTCTCAGCACTATTTTCTTTCGAGACCACTAACAAAATTACTTTGAGGTTGTTGATGAGTGGGAAGGTGGTGCATCTGTTGATACTATTTCCCTTCAATATCTCACCGGGATTTATAGAACCAGATCCGTTTTGGCACTCAACTTAGAAACCCTATCTGGATCTATCTCACATTCTCATGTTTCAAGTCGGAAGATCCCAGATAGACCTGCATGCTTCTTTAAGATCCGTATTTTTTACTTCAGAGCCACGTAGACAGTGCCTGCCTCCCTTAAAGAGGTTGTGGAAGGGCTGGATGAACTAAAGCATAATGTGCATCGGAGGTAACTCTCTCTGGATCCATACCCTTCTATTTTACGGAGCTAACCTTGATTCAATACACTCTTCGATGTCATATTATTATATTAGGTGAACTTGATGAGACCTCAGACTGATTCATTACACAGTAGGGGAAATTTGATGATGAATTTTTATTTTTCTTTGCCTTACGAAGGATGTCTTTTTATTCTTTTCTACTGATGTCTTCTTTCCCTCTTTGTAAATTCCCTGGTTCCTGCCATTGTTCTTCAAACGGTCAAAACGGTTGCTGTAATTGTAATTTATAAATGCCAAAAAGGCATCATTTGATAGATTTTTTGTTCGTGGCTTCGTAATGTGCACTTGAATCTACTTGTGGATTATTTTGTTTATCATTTTGATTTGCTATCAAGTCTGGTTGTTTAGAGTTGTCGTCATTTGGTAATGCGGCACGGCTGTGCTCGTCATTAATCCGGTATGCGAGTTTTTCGTACCGAGGGTCCCAATCCCACTCTGTCGTATGGTTTAGAGTTGAAGGCCGGCAGTCAGTAGCAGGGACCATTTGGCTGGTTGGTTTAAAGGAGCCAACTTGAGGTTAGAAAAGAAAGCTCGTCGGCACAATAGAAATGTGTTGACTTCATTTGACTTTTGTTGTGCTCACGAACCTTGGAACTTTTGAGATTGAACTTGCTTTTGCCGGTTTGGTTGGCTCGAAAAACCGAACCAAACCTGATCATTTGGTAGGGTTTGCCAGCTCACGGGTTAACGTACAAAACCTCACATGCTGATGTTTGTTTGTTAGTTAGTTATCACCTTTTGCTTCTCGATGGCTTTAGGGTTCCCATGACCTGGTAGTCCTCTATGAAGAAAGAATAAGAATATGAGTGGCTACTAGCTAAAGCAAAAAGGAAGAAGGGCATACTCACAAACTCTCTTAAGATCTCTCCATATGGAGTGAATGCGAAGTCTTTGTTTTATGCCATGTTTTCTTCTTCATTCTCTCTCTAGTGGACCAACAAGATAACGTGATCGTAGCTATTTCACTCAAACTGTAGCATGTAGATCTGTTTATTATATATATCTTATAGTTGGGACATATCAACATATATCGTCCAACCATAGTATGAGCTCGTTTGGAAGTATTTTTAAAATAACTTAAAACACTTTTAGAGAAAATATTATTGGATTTCAAAAGAACTTTTATACAAGAAGCATTGGTTATGTGCTTCCTACAAGAAGGACCTGATTACAAGTGTTGTTTCAAAAAACATCAATTTAAAAATACTTCCAAACAAACTCTATAAGTCATAAAATGATAAACGACCTCGCTTGTGTTATCAATATCTATATATAGAAGTTTCTCATTAAGTAGAGTATAACCTTATCCTTTGGAGAAATGAGAAAAAAAGAATATGGTAATATGAACGGTGTGAGAAGTGGTGAGGATGGATTGAGTGAGTCGACCACAATAATTGGTGCATGATTGAGATGTCGACCTTAACTATACGAACAAAATTCCTCTACTATGGATGATGCCTCATGGACCACTGCGTGCACGTGTGTTTGGGTCTACCATCACTCACACACCTTACTTTATAGTTTTGTATTCACCCACAATTTCTGCCACCCCATTCTTTTGTTGTATGTTAATCACCCCCTTGTGTATGGAAATGACAAATTAACCCATTAAGTTGTTAATGAGTACCCGTTAAAACCTGTTTAATTTGATATCACCATAATATGAAAGTGAGATTGGCATTAGTGATGATTGTGTAAAGTGAAATCAAACTAATGGATCTTATGAATATTCATTAACAATTCAATGGATTGATTTGCCACATCTAATCGTGTATTAGGGCTGCTCTAACTGGCTGCTCAAATTTGTTTATTTGTATCGATTAGATTAATTCAATCAAAAAGCGAAGTGCGCAAACTATTTCTCTTTTGAAAAATTGTCTCGCAAGTCAGTCTTAGTATACACTTGTCATATACATCCGCGTGGCTCATAAAGGTGTGCTCGAATATATCAATGAGTCGCATGTATCTATTCATCACATGACATGTATGTTGTATAAAACCAGTAAATAACACAAAATGTATGATTTTACATAACCATTTGTTTATTTCTCTCATTATGTAATTTTACAACAAATATTTGATCAATTGACACATGACAAGAGATATAGAACAATTCTATATACAATTTAGTCCTTTTTTGCTCACCCCCTAACTCAAAGTAACCTTTCCCCCTCTAAAATCATGTCACATTTATTTAAGTAACCGTAGTTGCCTATGCATTTAACTAAATCTCTTATAAGAAAAAAAATTTTTTGAATAAATTAAAAATATAACTTACCATGTATTCCTTTATCTATATCCCTTAGATTAAAGAATTGATCTCACTTTTCGACAACTCTGATCATGGAAAACCTTCCGCACCCCTTGTTCTCACTTTGTGCTATCAGAGCAATTCTACCTCTATAAAGCTCTTAGAGCACTTTCAGTGTAGGAAGGCTCCTTAGACAATATGCAACTCAATTCCTTTAAATGAACAGTAACTGCCCAAGTACATGTTCACCCCTAAATTGAATAGTCCAGGAGTATTAAAATATTAGTATTTTTTATTTTATGAAATAATAAAAGATAACTTTATTTTTAATTTTGGATAATAGTAAAAGATTAGTTGAAAGTATTCAAAAATATTGAAATGTATTATAAGGTGGAAGAACATAGTTACGTATTTAGAGAAAAATATATATAGAATTTTTTATATTTTTAATTAGCATTTTTAATAATTTTTTTAATAATTTAAATTCTGGCTGACGTCATGATGACATCATCCTTATGTCACATAGGCAGGGCGCTGAGTTAGACAATTATTCCTTGACTTTTCCATCGGGTTCACTTTGGGTCCTATTGCCCGAGTGGGCTGGAGTGTTTTGGGAACGGGGAGAGTAGATTGGGTTGCCTATCCCCAAGGCAATAAACAACGGTGGAGTTGCTCTTATAGGCAATTCAATCCCCTAAGTGAACAATAACTGCTTTTAGTGAACAGTAACTGTCCAAATGTATCTTTACCCCTAAACTGAATAGCCCAGACTATTAGTATTACAATATTGTTATTTTTTATTTATAAAATAATAAAAGATAATAGTAGTTTTAATAATTTCGAATAATAATAAAAAATTAGTTAAAAGTATTTGAAAATATTGAAATGTGATGTAAAATGAAAAAACATGGTTATGTATTTATAAAAAAAATATATATATTTATATTTTTAATTAATTTTTTCTAATTTTTAATTATTACTGATGTCATACTGACGTCAGCCTTGCGTAACATGGCTGGGCCTGTCAATTCCTACCTCGGGGGAACAACTCGGATTTTTTTGGGCTGGAAGCGCTGATGCAAATTTATTCTCCTCTTTGCCATGGTACAGTTCCATGGTGTAAGATAGTCAAAAGCGTTTTTCTTTTAGTTGTTGCTGTGTTGAAACAAAAGAAAAAGTTTGTGTAGCCGAGGAAGTTAAGGTGACCGGCCTCATTTCTTTCAAAACTGATTGATGGGTGAACCATATGAATCCAATCTTGGTCTTCATGATCATGGTTAATTAGTCTTATTCCAGAACATAGTCGTAATTATGACAAAATATCATGGGCCCTTCTCTTTCCGACATTGAATCATCAATCAGTTGCGTTTAATACTTTTTGACATTTTAACAGATGTATTGTGTATATATTAGTTGTCATATCATGTGATTTACGAAAGGTAAAAGGTAGTTTAAAATTTTGAACTCTTTGACATCATTCAAGTATATATATTTTTTATGGTACAAGTGATGTTGCATAAATCATCTTTTTAGATTATATTTTGTAGAATGTTATTGATGGTTGGATTCTATTTTTAAATCAGTAATAGCCAAATCCAATAATCAACCGTTACATCATGTGATTTACAAAATATAAAAAAGACGATATGTCTAACATTTTCTTTAGGAGACTTTAACGAAAATGTCCCGGTTACTGTTCACTTTAACGAAAAATCATATTTTTACACTAAAAAGTCAATTATGGTACTATTCACTTTACCCTTTATTTTGTCATTATTGTTAAAATTCAAAACTTTTAACCTCTTTTCAATAGTTGGTATTTGTGTGAACAAAGACCACTGTTCTGTCTCTCTACGCAACTTGTTTTAGACAATGAGAGAGTTTTATATATAGTCTCGAATATGAAGATCTCAGTATCAACTGGAAGTAGACAACTTTGACATATTTGGTGATGAAGAAATGACCCCGTGAGGAATAAAAGATTTAAGAATCAGAATCATCAAGAAAATGGTTTGAAACTTGAATCCAAGCTTCACGTCGCTCAATAGAAAATGAGAGGTGTTCTATAAAATACGAAGGAATAAATTGAACAAGGATAAGTTATAACACGTTTACTTATTTGAAATAAAAAAGTTATGAGCGGAGAAAGTGAAAAATATGGAGAAAATGAGAAGGATTGAGATAGATTACCTTTTTATCCTAATTAATCTAGTTCTTGAATTTTTAGGTGTTAGATTATTGATCGTGCCCACATATTTTTTTAATGTGTTAGTAAATGCATGAGAAGTCAAAATTAAGTATGACTTTAATACCAATGTGTTAATATTAAAGGTAATGCTAAGGAGACTAAATTCGTAGACAAAATTTGCAAACTAAATGATATATTATCAATAAAAATGAGCACGTTTATCAACGCTTAAATAATAATCTAATCATCAACTTCTATGTCATTTAGTTTTCAAAATTGTGTTTATAAATTTAGTCTCCCTAACATTAGCCTAATATTAAACCAAAAACGGAAAGTTACCCCTTCAGTCGAAGACTAGTGGTAGCCTTCGTTGTGGAAGGGTGGTGCTTCAGGATTACAACATATTGGTTCTAAGAACAAAACGAGCTTAACAGACCACTGTCTTCTCATTCTTGAGTGAGATGCTGGCATGTTTATGTCCAGATTTCAGAATTGTCCATTACTAAACATACTGATATTGTCTTAACTACCAACACAGCCTAATAGTTGATGAATTTCATCACAAAAAAAAACATCGTTTTGATTAAAAGTAAAACCATTTCATGTAAGTAATAATTTATTAAGTGAAGTTTCTAGAATTTTATTCTTCAATAATTTAGTTTTT